GTTTCATGTAATGCGTACGTCATGTATGAGCCAACAAAAAAAAAAACAGGCTATAAGTGGGTTGCTTATCAAAGTATCTTCGTCTGCGCTTTACAAGAATGCATGATTCAGTGGTTTGAAACGAATACCACATCGATAACTGGACAGTAAAACATTTTCTCAGTTTCTCTAACAAAACACAGTAAAAGAAGCACCAGAGTATGTTGCGATAATTTTGCAAATGAGTGACGAGTGAGATAAATACTGCCCTATTCACGTACACTGTTTTTAACAGCCTATCACTTTGTGTTCCGGATTGTCATTTTTTGTTTTTCTTTTGTGTTCAGCCCAGTCTGCTGTAAATGCGCCGAAGTGTACATTTGGGGGGGGGGGGGTCGAATCTAGTCAAACTGCTCATCTGCTTTTTCGCCCTGTCTCCCTCATCATATATGCTTGATGAAAAATACAGTACTTATTATTATTATTACTCTAATGCATAGAAAGTTGCTACATTCGGATTTTAACGGTGCAGTGCCGAAAATATAAACAGTCATTCAACTTTCTTACACGATCACTTTGAATATATCGCGCAAGAACGTACGGCCCCCAAAGAGATCCTTAGCATGATGCTGACAAAGAACGTAACAGGCGTTGTTGGTGTCTTTTTGCTCGTCTGCGTTCTCATCTTCAGCATCATGTTTCATAGTTGTAGCCAAGATCAACTAGCCAACTTGTCTACACTAAGGCTTGCAAACATAGATGAAATAGGACCTAGCAAAACAAATGCGATGTATCGTAGTGGTTTAGGTGCAAGTATAGTTGGAAGTGTACGCGGTAGTTTGTTTTTGATTAATTTGCACAAACTTGACGTTAGACGCGTAAACAGTTATCACACCGGCATACCCGCGCATATGAGTGATGCGTGGCGCTACCGTTCTTGTGCGTATATATACGGAGACGAACCTTGTGCCCACTTTTGTTTTACTACTGTGACCATGCAGTTCAGGACGTTTGTGTTTTATGTTTATTTTTCTTCATTCATATGAGTTAGCACCCATCACATTTTTTCACAATTTGTCTTTAACAACTGGCCCAACTTTCTCCACCGATAGAAACTTGAGCATCTTTGATGCTTCACTACTTTGATGCTCCAGTATACCAGCGACTCGCTCTCAGCTGCGCGCCCTATTTAGAATTCTTCTATAATGCATTGTCACAATCCATCATAACAGTGAATATTTTGCTGTACTTGATCAAGCCATAGTGAATGATGTTTTGTCGGCCACCGTGAAAGACAGAAACCTTTGATACCCTGAACCTAGACTCAAAGAAAGAAGGAACTCGCGTCGGCCATCTCTTCCGTCTCTTACGTCGTCTCTTCTGGCCCCGAGAAGATTCCAATCATGCACAAGTTTTATGACCCGCTGTCTTTCGATTTCAATTCAGGTTGGTGAACTGGACACAAGCAATTCTTACCCATATGTTCATGAAGCTAGGTGGTTCAGCTTACGGCGAAATAAACGTGCGTTTAGGGAAGCAAACGGCACCAACTTTGTATCCACCTTGTTCTCTACAATATTCACAATTAGGATGGACAAAAATATTCACTCCGAAATTCACACGTTATATGCATTTACTAACACTGAATGTCCTTTTAAAGCTTCATTTTGTTTCAATGTGTTAAGTTTTCGTTTCATTTTGTAGATTTATTTACTGTTCTGTCTAGTCCTTACTTAAGAAGAGTGCTACTGTTGCTAGGAACACTAAGTATTATCATAATTAGACTTTAACTGAAGGTCTCGACGCAGCCTTCCACTTTGCAACATGTTAATGTCAATTAGAAACATGTAAACCAATAAAAAGATTAAAAAAACAATTTACTTTAGGAGCGAATAATGTTAGTGAACGAATGACAAATTTCGAACAAAATATCACCATCAAATGCCTTGTGACTAAATGTTACTGGCTACTATTAACATTAAACCATTTTGCAGCACCCGGAAAGCCCAGAAATGTGACCGTAGAGGAAAACCACGGCGGGCACACACTTAGGTGGCTTTCCCCGGAGTCGTGGAACGGACCACCGGGCGGTTACGAAGTCAGCATCTCCTGCGGCGAGGTGAAGGGCAACAGCACGAGCGTTACCCTCGAGGCGGACAGGACGGGGCTTCGCCTGCCGACACTCAGCCCAAACGTGCCGTGCACAGTCGGCATAAGCGCGTACAATTTTTACGATGGTGAACCTCTCGACGGGCCCAGAGTCAGGGTTCGCTTCACGCCTCTGGCCAGAACCGAGGAGACAGTATTCGAGCACCCCACAATCAACTGAGTGATTACGAGCGAGCATGAACTTACCACTGGTGCGGATACACGACGCCAGAGAGCACTGGAGGTATGAAATGCTGGACAAGTATGCAACACAGGTTGTATAGTTGAAAATAAGGTTATATTGCAGGAACACAAAAGTAAGGAAGCCACACAGCAGTATACAAAGCAGAGTTGTCGTGAATAATGTATATATGTACTACTTGTTGTCTCGTTTTGCACACTAAAATTGGGCATTTGTTAGGTACTATGTTTATGGAAATTAGTGAAAACTACCCTTTCCTACAAGTGCCCCACAGTGTGAAAGATATTTAGACTTGTCTCTTAGCGTGAAATATACGTGAAAGCACTAATATTCTCCTACACACAGCAAACTGAACGCTTCGCGAGTGTTTTCAACAAAAAAATATCAGAAATTAAGCAGATTCCAGCTATAAACCAGTTTTCTTGCTCTTTGCTTAGATTGTTACAAAAATTGTGCTAGATCACCAATGGAAAAACTTATTAAAGTCCACTGTTTCTAAATGCCTAAGTGCCATGAGGGTATCGCAAAGTGTCATTTCAGCTTTCGTGAAGCCTATGAACGCGTTCAAAGACGCTGGTTCAAACGTTCCTTGCCACTTCACCGTCTTATCTACTGCAAGAGCATGGCGATCAACTTAATTCCTCTCCGATACAAGTGTGATTCTTCAGTGAATAAGATTTGTTGTAGGCTTTATGCCGCAACATGTGGCTGAACTACCGAAGGAAGTTGGAATTTTGTCTAGGGTACTGACTCACAGTTAGCCAAATTTCGTTGGCTTACAGCTTTGTACAACAGAATAAAGCACTTTCTTTGTTGTGCGTTCATTCGTCTGACTTGGTTGTAACAGACTACCCCTGTGATGAAGCTTTCGCCCTTGTCGTTGTTAACCTATACATACCACTACAATTATCAGCTGCCTGTAAACAGTCGGTTCCCATTGCCATCTTAAAAAAAAAAGGACTGGAGATGAGTTAACGTTTTATCATTCTGCGCTCTGATAATTGCCACTTAGGCTTCTGGTTCATATCTTCTGATCTCCCAGAAAGTCAGCTAAACGGATAGAATGGTCCATTGTGCTGTTGTGCAGTGGGAACCTTCTTGAAATACAGAAACGTGGCATTATACAGTTAATACAAACATTATTGCTGCATTCATTCACTGCGGGTACCTTGCATAGTTGGAAAACAACACATTTACACTGCGTAGCTAGCACTTCACGGATGCAATGAACGATGCAAAAAGTTGGATGACAATTGAGTTTCGCTTTCAAGAGTAGAACGCTGTAACATAATTTGACCATGTTCGCACCTTTTTCCTAGCTACGCACCTTGTGAAACACGTTGAAAAGAGACACAAAGTTCGGAAGCATGTCGGATCCTATATTCACGCATACGGTGCGACGGAGCACGAAAAGAACACGTGGGCTCGTTCTGCGACCTCATTCGATTTCTGTCAAGTCGTTGAAGGACTTCCGATATGTGGGAACCACCAACGTCATAGGGTTAAGATGTTGACTGTAAAGGAAGAGGGTCCATGCAGTAAAGCCTGCAACAAGGCAGATTCACAAGGCACGCAAGCATGTCGGCGCATTCAGCCACACGGCCACGCCATCAAATGTTGATACTGTAATACGTTAACTGTGCCATCTAGTGAATGAACCTGCAAACACTCCTTTCAGCGCGCAGTAAAATGAGTAAATAGGCTTGGAATGCTTCTTTAAAATGTTTAACATAAACACTAAACAAGTTCCGTTTCATTAGAAATGCGGCTAGTAAAATTTAAACACCAATTTGTTTTTGCCAGTAGACATTATATACTTATATTTAGGCTCAATTATGGGAGAGCTAGCAATTTTTTTTCTTTTGTGAAGGGTGCAGTTTTGTAAATTAACATGAAGCTTCAGTCTAATAATGACAATCACCACATTGCCTAATAATTTTTGGCTTTGTTTTTACATGTTAATCATGGTATGCTATGGTTCCTCTATGCTGATCCTGTAGCTAAAATAAACGGCTGCTGACCCGCAGGTCGCGAGATCCTATTTCGGCTGTGGCGGCTGCATTTTCGATGAAGGCGAAAATGCTGTAGCCCCGCGTGCTCAGATTTGGATGCACGTCAAGGAACCTCAGCTGGTAGATAGTTCCGGAGTCCTTCACTATGGCGTCTCTCATAATCATATTGCCGCGACAGGTTGGCCACGTTCAAGTAGCCGCCGCAATCATCATGGCAAGAGCACCAGCAAGACCCGGCTGGCATGCGTCACGCGTTCGTGCGCTCCAACAACGAGGAAGAGGAAGTTAGTTGACTCTGTGCCTCTCGGCTACTTGGACTCGGCGACCATAGTCATTAGACTTGTGGGCACAAGTCTAATGACTATGGTCGCCGAGTCCAAGTAGCCGAGAGGCACAGAGTCAACTAACTTCCTCTTCCTCGTTGTTGGAGCGCACGAACGCGTGACGCATGCCAGCCGGGTCTTGCTGGTGCTCTTGCCATGATGATTGCAGCGGCTACTTGAACGTGGCCAACCTGTCGCGGCAATATGGTGGTCTTGGGCTGTTAAACCCCACACATCAATCAATCATGGTATGCTATAAGTACTTTTAAACGGGACTGCAGATCGCCATGCTATTTTCGAATAACAAGCGAAAGGCAACACAAATACTTCTGGAGATATGTTATACAACCACGACTTCATTTCACATGCGCTCTTCCTGTTGTGTGGCTGGTGTCTGGCGCCCTTCACGGCCTAAACATTTCTCCTATTGCGTCGGACCAAGACTGAAGAGCGGGAGGATAAAATATTGCTACCAGAGGTGTCAGTAGACTCATCGTGACGCCTCCGAAGAAACGAGCGGCAGGGTCTCCCCGCTGGTTCGAGTTCATTTGATTTACCACACTGTGGAGTGCCGCCCTTTCTCTATCAAGTTCCGCTACTCTCGCTGCCAACTCTGCCCTCTCTCGGTCTCTTTCCTTCTCCCTTTCTTCTTCCTCTTTTCTTTCCATCTCTCTCTTCTCTTCTTCTTCCCTCTCTTTTCTGATTAGCTCTTCTTCTTCCTTCGAAAGGTAATGAAAGACCTCTTCCAGCTCCTGCAAACCAAAACACGACTCATATACATGGCTTTACAGCGAATACAGTTAAAAGACATTTTCGAACTTGTTCGTAATCATATATATAAAAGACACTAGTCATCTCTACTTCCTGTACAATTGTTATCACTCACCTGTAGCCTACAAGGAGTGGCGTAACAATTAAGCCAAGAATAACATACGTAAAGCCAGCAAGGTTGATTGGTTACTGCAGTCGCGCCCGATCTGAAATCATCGAGCGAGCGTCGACCAAGAACTCTTTCCAAGAGAGGGTGGCATCGTGCAAGTTTTACACAGTCTTTTCGCTGTTCCTTATGCTGCACTCACTCCCGTCTTAGAAAGCTGATTAAACGAAGCAGCTCCATGCATTATCTGTAACAAATCTTTCCCAGCAATTTTGTAATTACGTACGGAAATAAGAGCCCATGAATGTGCTTGATCTTGACCAATGAATATATATATATATATATATATATATATATATATACACATACTACTTGATTCCTGGCCGATCGGCCAGAGTGACTGTGAGCCAGAAATTCGAGATCTTCATTGGCTACTGCACTTTGATGGTTCGGAAAGTGGTGTAAAAACATGAGAGAAAGAAGCAAAAGCAAGAAGGAAACGATCAATAAGTGTGCTGGAACGCACATACAGCAACTTTTTTTTTATATATAGACTGAATAATGAGTCCGACAATCTCACGACTAGAGTACTAAAAGCGACTAATTTGCGCAGAACAATGGCTGTTGGGCACACCTTCTAAACGGAAGGTTTTTACTCTGCAAACATTTCAATTGGCAAAGTTTATAACATAAACAAGTCCTTGTGGTTATTGCGTCGGTAAATTGTGCGCTTAATATTGGAGCACTGCTGCTGCTGCTGTTAGCGTATCCTTTTCAAAAGTCACGTGAAAATAGAGCAATGGCCGGCCGAAAATGCCGCATAAAAGCTAGTCGGCAACATAGTGTTTCCTATAAATACACCAAAGATAACTCTGGTGCTACTATTATAGGAAGCTGCAAAGCACGGCGCTTCAGCTAGCATAAAAATCATGCGTAGTACGAAAATGTTTCTAATCTTCTGTGTTTTGTTTTTCGGCTGCGTATTGCTTCGCGTGAACTGGAGCCCCATTGTCACGAGCCGACAATCAGCAAATGTTCAGCATATGCGCTTCACCACCGTAACCGTTTTTAGCCCACCAATGAAAATCGGGGCCCGAAGTTCACAACGTTTCGCTCTTTAACTCGAAAGAAAGGCGAGAAGCCGCATTAAACGAAGCTACAAGTGCATTTGAAGCCGCAAGCGCAAACTCTAGGCGCATTTTTCTACTACCCACCAGTATACACCAAAATGGCTGAATGACCATGGTGTCTGTTCCTTTTTGCGAATTGTAGGTAACTTTATCACCGGTCGTGCTATCGTCTGCCTGTTATAGTGGCTGTAGTGACAGACGCCTGTCCGACGTAGCATTTTCTTGCCGTTTTAGCTCAGCATTTACTAGCAAGTATTGAGCTTTCTTCTGATGCGCGCGAATGATCTACCATTGCGCCTAAAAGAGACTCGAAATATTGACTAAGACAGCACTTGTCTATATAGACAGATAAACCAACGTAGCTAAGACGGCATATTTTTTTAAAGTTTAAAACCGGTTTTTTAACTTACGACCGCTCTGGCCTTGCTGAAACATTACACAATTTTACCATATTATAGTCATGAACTTTCGATATAACACTTGACCACATAGGTCACTGCGTTTCTCATTAAATATTGTGCGTTCTGAGCACTTCCTGTGGATTATTTTGTAACGCACGCAATGGTGTGGAACGAGACCAGAGTATGCATGCCCTTAGACTTCATCGACTCGATGAGCAAAATATCGAGCTATGATGTTGGCGATCTTGGTGCCAGGAAAGTCTTGATTAGCTGGCGCCCAGATGATAGTATTTTGGTTGGAACACACCCAGAATTATCGGACAAAAGCTGATCCACTTGAACCAAGATTCCGGTAAGCGTGAGCAGACTGTTATATAAGAGCATCATCAAGCGCTGTATCATAATTTCAACCAGATTTCAAGCAGTACTGGTATTTTTGTATTCGATGCTTGCAAATAATGAATCCAAATCAGGTGAATTCAATTCTTTTTTATTTACGCGTTTTGCAACTAAATACACGAGAAAAATAATGTGGGCCCATTATATCCATGCACCCCCCCCCCCCCAATTTTTTTTACCATAGCATACAGTGCGAAAATGAGCATTTCAATAACGTGCCACAATCCCCCCTGCCCCCCCCCCCAAAAAAAAAAATTATGGAACATCTAGCTGAAGTAAACCCTGATGGATTTTCAATTTTATTCTATTTCATTTCGTACTTTCATTTCGCAGGTCATGGAGAACGGTTGTATACAGAGTTGACTGTAAAGCAAGTTATTATCATCGTGTGGTCGTGTGCAGGTCAAAATGCGCAGGCCTGTTTCTGTAAGTGAACGATAGGATCCAAATATGCTTTAAAAAGCGTACCATGATTCAGAAGAAGATACTGTGCAACAGTGAAATATCGAAAAACAAACAAGTTTAAGTATGATAATATTGGGTGAAATCTCAGCATTTTAATAACAAAGACGAAGGGAGATTTTAGTGCATACACTAAACATTTGTGGTGTCCAGGTAAAGTTTCAGTCCAATAATACTGCTAAATACTCCATGTTCTCTAAAGTTGTTCTATGTTTCCACCAACGAGCTGAATTTTCAAGCCTGTTGTGTCACATATGGCATAAGGGGAGCGGAGTACTACGTACTTTGTCTTGTCTCTGTTCAGTGTTAATTTTTCGCACGCAAACCAAGCTGATATACTAAATAGCTCGTCATTTATAGTATTCTGCAAATCACTAAGGAATTTCTATGATATTATTAGCGCGGTATCATCTGCATAAGCCACAGCTTTTGATGACTATAGCGCTGATGGGAGGCCATTACCATATAATCAGAACAGTATGGGCCCCAATACTGATCCTTGCAGAACTGTCACAACAATATTAGAATATTTGGAAGCAAATGAACTGTTTTAAATATATTTTTCGATCATTATTCTAGCTTGAAGAAAGGTTCATTTTAGCTTCGCTATAGCCATACCTTCGCATTTTATTTTTTTTAAAGTATGAAATGACAGACCGTGTCAAACGCTGTTTTCATTCTAAAAATAACCCTCCGGCAAACTCGTTCAAGTGCGAAGCTGTGCATATATTCTGGGTTAGTTTTATAGTGCTGATGACGTTGATGTATTAGTTATGAATGCATGTTGAAATTTTGTGAGAAGCTTGTTCTCATTTAGGTACTGCTTCAGCTGAACCGCGATTACCCTCTCAAATACAGTATTTCAGATGCTAAGCAGAGAGATAGGCTGGTAGCTTACACGTTAGTTGATATCACACCTTTTGTATTCAGGATACACTCTTGCGACATTTAAAATGTCAGGGTATATGCCGAAGCTGGAGTGGTGCGCACGGCGTTGACCCGGTTGAAACGGGTGAAGACGCAGGTGCTGGAGGAACGGTTGGAAGCGAAATATGGCGTAGCGATTGCTAGAGTAAACGTTTGACTTAAACACAACGATACGGATGGCAAGTTGGGTTTCCTGCAAGTTTCATCACAGATAAACGAGCTTAAATTTTTTTCTAGTTGATGTATGGTCGAGAGTTGCGGGCAGTGGAGAGGGCGAAGTGAGAGAGAAGTGTGTTGCAAGTAAACGGAGGAACCGGTGGCTGGGGGTGAGGAAAAATGACGTTAGCGTACACCTGCGTGGGAAGCGTGCGAGGGAAGCGTGACGTCAACACGAAGCTACAGTGCGACCTACTTGACACCGCTCTAGCATCTGCGAAGAAGGGAGCTCGTTGCAGTGTGTTCGTACGGATGTACGTACGTACGTAAGTCAAAGGGCTGCTTCGCATTTAAACTATTCTGCCTACGCCCTTGTATCGAAGTCTGGTTGATACGTTGGTTCACAATCACCTGCAAATGAAAATACTTTGGCAGTCCCCTTTACCTGTAATGAAGACCTAGGTTCCATCATCATCAATATCATCATAATCATCCTGACTACGTCCACTGCAGGACAAAAGCCTTTCCCATGTTCCGCCACAAAACTAGGTCCTGTGCTCGCTACGGCCACTTTATACCCACAAACTTCTTAATGTCATCTGCCCACTTAACTTTCTGTCTCGCCCTAACCCGCTTCCCTTCTCTGAGAATCAAGTCCCTAATACCCTAATAACCAGCGGTTATCCTGCCTACGTGCTACATGCCCGGCCTATGTCTATTTCCTCTTCTTGATTTCAACTATGATATCCTTAACGCCGGTTTCTTCCCTGAGCCACTCTGCTTTCTTCTTGTCTCTTAAGGTTACGCCAATCATTTTCATTTTCATCGCTTGCTGCGTTCTCCTCAATCTAAGCTGAACCCTCTTCGTAAGTCGGCGAAACCAGCCTTTGCGTTGACGTAATGAATTATAATATGACGAGTATCTTTACGGAGTGTTCAGTGGAACTTGGAGGTACTGTAATTAGACAGGGCACAGGTAAGCTGTTCCTGGAGATGAAGAACCTCATTAATAAGCGTCAAAGCATGAAAGCCTCAAATACAACAGACAAAATAGGATTGGCAGAGCTTACGAAGCTGAATAATAAGCGTAAGGTATCCGATGTAACAAGGTATAACGTGGAGAAAATTGAACACGGTTTGAAGAACGGAGGAAACGTCAAAGCAGTGAAGAGGAAACTTGGGATTGGCAGAAACCAAATGTTTGCACTAAGGGATAAGGTAGGCAAAGTAAGCACCTGTATGAATAGGATAGTTAAATATCGGAGGAGTTTTACAGAGAGCTCTACAGTAGCCAGCAAAACCATGAGCTTAATATAAGAACTAGCAGTATCTCAGATGGCATCCCACCAGTAATGATAGAAGAAGTAAGAAAGGCCTTCGAGAGAATCCAAAGAGGCAAAGCTGCTGGTGACGGACCAGGTAACGTCAGATCTGTTTAAAGACGGAGGAACAGGTAGTGCTAGTAAAATTAGCTCATCCTGTTTACGAAGTGCTTCCTGACAGGAAGAGCACCAGAATCTTGTAAGAATGCTAACATCATCTTAATAGATAAGAAAAGAGATGACAAGGACTTGAATACCTACAGGGCGATCAGCTTGCTCTTCGTCGTATACAAGCTATTTAGAAAGGCAATCAGTACCAGAACTAGAACATTAGAATTCAATCAACCAAAGGAACAAGCAAGAATTTGAACATGCTACTCAACAATCGACCACATTCATAATATCAATCGTGTAGTAGAAAAATGCTTAGACTACAACCAACCACTATACATAGCCTTCATAAATTACGAGAAGGCGTTTGATTCAATAAAGTATCAGCAGTCATGCAGACACTGCGCAATCAGAGCGTCGACGAAGCATAGAAAAACATTCTGGAAAAAATCTACAGAGTATCAACTGCCACCACAGTGGTCCATAAAAAAAAGCTACAAAATACCAATCCAGAAGGGTGTAAGGCAAGGGGTACAATCTCACCAATGCTATTTACCGCGTGCTTACAGGTGGTTTTCAGAGGCCTAGAATGGGAAGAGTTAGGGATAAGAGTTCATGGAGAGCACCTTAGTAACCCGCGGTTTGCCGATGCCATTGCACTGCTGAGTAACTCAGGAGATGAATCGCAACTCATGATTGCGGAGTTAGACAAGGAGAGCAGAAAGGTAGGTCTTGAAGTTATTCTGCGAAAAACGAAAGTAATGTACAACAACCTCAAAAGAGAACGGCGCTTCGAGATGGGTAATTGTGCACTAGCAGTTGCAACAGACTACGTCTACTTAGGACAGGTAATAATCGTGGAGCCGAACCACAAAATTGAAGTAACTAGAATCATAATAATAATAGGGTGGAGCACGTTTGGCAAGCACTCTCAGATCATGACTGGTAGATTGCCACTGTCCCTCAAAAGGAAGGTATACAACAGCTGAATCCTACCGGTACTTAGCTATGGAGCATAAATATGAACGTTCTATCAATTGTACGTAATTGCTGTAGTATCATCGGCGGCCATTCCTATCTAACAGGTACTGATAGTTCTTGTTTTGAATAAGAAATGTGCTTTGGTGTAGTGTGGCTAGATTAAAATACATTCGACCAATAAAACATGGTTGCTTCAACTTTAACGCCCACAGATACATACAAAACAGAATGTCACGTATTTAACGGTCTGTCAGATCAAGCCATCTGGATCAATTTGTACCCATACCCAAAAAGATTGACACCTTTAAATATTCTCTCTTCCCGAAAAGAATCGAAGAGTGGAAGTGTGAAACCATGAGTGCGTACCTGTCGTTTTGTTCAGTGCACTTGCCCGGCTCAGGGAGCTTCGACGGCGACGGAGGAGTGCTTGTCTAAAGAGCTGTGATCTTAAAAATATGGTGGTGAATAAATGCAATCTGCTCCACTTCGCACACACCGATAAAACCGCGAAGCTGGAGGCTAACGAGATACCATGTTTTGCAAGTCCCAGGTTTTGAAATATGACTTCGAGATGTTTCTAGACATTGTATCTTTGATCGTGAATAAACACTCTTGGTTAAGCATTGAGGTGGTAGTATAGCCACCACTTATGTAATAACAAAGTGACACGTGACTGTAAAAATATGATAAAGTGCGCGCAATCGGTTGGGTCAACTGCTTCAATCTTCATTTTGGATGGTAATTGTGTGCATTCCGACTTACGCAATTTCTGTGCAACATAAGTGTTTAAGATAATTATAGTGTTAGGGTATAGGCGGCGCTGATTTATGGGCAGATAGCGTTTGTTTGTCTAATTGTCGGCTTCATTTTCAGCGGATCAGTGGTGAGTGGTAGGATTTACCCAGTGTCTCCGGTGCATAGCCGTTCGTGATGACCACACCCGTTACCACGGACTCAAGTCATGAAAAGCGCAACCAAGAATGGCTTCGCTGTTTATATACCGGTTGATGGCAATAAATGAATGGTCCTATAGGCAGTGCACGTAATGCATGAATCTGTTAGCCCATGGTAAGTTACAGTGAGGAATGGATACATAGGAAACGCAAGTGAGGCTGTCAGAGTGTTAGTTTCGGTTTCCATAGTTGAGGATTCACAGGCATAAAATGAAATACATCATTAGGACAATAACTGGCGATGACTGGGTGAATGCTTAGTCTGCCGGTGGCCATATCAGGAACATGCCCATCGGTGGACATGTTACTTATAGCAATATTTATGATTTTAAACACAAAAATTACAGTACATGTCTTGAGAAATAGGATTACTGTCTTTATGGGTGTTCACAGGCAACAAAATTCTTGCTGAGAAGTTCACTCTGCTCTGCTGGACATTTTGACTTCGAAAATGTGTTAAGGATAGCCTCCATGCACTTTGTCTTCACAAATGTGCTCATTCGGATCGTCTAATGTGATTCGCCAATCCTCTCAAAGGCTCAGTGAAGAATGACCACATGAAACAACAGTCTGATTAAACTTAAATTACAAAATAGTCAGTTAAGCACTCCTCAGTTTCGCCTGCTTTATGACGGTTATTACGAACTTTATCAGATTTCTCATATGAAACTGAATATTATGGTGTAGACGCTCACCAAGTCAAAAGAAATCTAAGGATCGCATTGTATGCTTGCATCAAGAAGCCTTGCCGCAGCGTGCCTCTATGAATCAATAGAGTTCGTCATCTCTTCAGGTATCTATCTTACGGCTGAATTGTGAAATACACCCTGCAAATAATGCTCCTATAGCCGATCCAATCCATTTGAAAACAGCGGTAAATATATTTCCATCACGATTGTGCTCTCTCGCTTCCAACTGTGCTACCCTCCTCCTCATAGCCGCCCTCTCTTCTGCTATTTCCGCTTCTCTCGCTGCCACTCTTAGTCGTTCCGAAACTCGTTCTCTCTCCCTTTCTGCTTCCCTCTTCCTTTCCTCGCATCTTTCCTTCTCTCTTTTTGCTTCCTCTTCCTGTTCCTTTTTCATCAGTTCTTCCTCTTCCTTTAAAAGCTGTTCGAAGTACTGTTCGAGCTCCTGCAAGCGTGAAACGCAGATGCGTGAGACACTCTCCTGCGGTAGACGCGGGAAGCATCAGGAAATGTTTCTACAAATGCTGCTCTCTTTGTGAACAAATGTTCCAGTTAATAATCCCATAATAATATTAGGGACTTTAGCTCCAAATACCAAAATATTATTATGAGGAAAGCCGTAGTGGAGGACTCCATGAATTGCGAACATCCGCTGTTCTTTAAGGTGCAGTGATGGCATTCCACAATACACGGGCCTCAACAAGTGTCTCTAAGAAGAACTGCAACCACCGCGGTGGGGGTTGCACCCACGACCTTTGAGCCAGCAGACGAGTGCCATAGCCACTAACCCTTGTGGCAGAACCAGTCAGTAATCTATTAAACTACAGAGTATCTATGAAGCTGTGCCCACTGAAGACTACGAGAGAGTAGTTGACCCAAAACGATTACCGAATGGAATCGCTGCCAACGGGATCATTAAAACTGGGAAAATTCATCGTTACAAGAACAGTTATCCTATATCGCAAAGTGTTTTTAAAATATTCCCTGCATTAGCTTAGATGTATATAGTGGCTGGAATAGTAGATATGTCTTTGTGTTTGGATTTTTGCAGTTCATTGCACTTATGCACCAATCTTGAAAACAGCAGGATTACTTGTATCACAGTTTGGTGATGTGTAATGCTTGCAACCAATGAAAGCGATCTCTTGTGCACTAGATATGATTGTGTCTCTTTTTTTATAAGCCGTGGTGCCTAATGTCATTCATCAGACCACTAAATAAAAATAATTCTGATAATAAATACTGCACTTTTTTTCACTTACACAAAAATATAAAGTGCAGAGATAGCCTACGATCATTTTTAGAGATTGCTGTAGCATGTCTTTATGTATTTATTGTAACCTGTGCACTACACTTGTATGCGATGACTTGCAAATGCAGCACCTGAATGCGTCAGTGCCTTCCAAATTCTTTTCCAATCTTCTGTAAAGCTTTGGCACATCACGTAAACAGTAAAAAGCTTATTCTGCAACACGTTGTCATCATTAATAAAGCTGAATTTGGTGACGCTACAAGTACAAAATGCCCAGACACTGCACTGCTGATGACATAGCCCGAACTTATACACTCTGTCTAGCACCGTAAGGAAGGACTGTTTATTGCTTGTACTTCAATTTTTCATTTCAATGGCCACAAGTTCACCCGGAAAAAATATTTATTCCGTAGCACGCCAACTGCTGCCTGCATCAACATCACGCACGGGCTACTAGAATATTGAAGTACGATTTTCAAACTCAATAAGTATATTATAATTTCATGTACACAGTACATGACAGGACCACCAACAGCTTTGAGAATTTTCATTCGTTTCAGCAGAATAGCAGCGACAAGGTCGCATTTTGTAAGTGTCGCAATTTGTTGAACTTATGGATATGTAACTTTTCTATTTGTTCAGAATTACGCGCCGGACATACAACAGAAAATATAATAACCCCCAAGTCAAGCAGAAAAATGACTACGCATCAGTCCTGAAAAAGCGTCAAAAATACTTTCACATAGGTTGCGTTGCCGCATAGAGTAAGCAATACAATGACAACATCAGTAGTCCTTACATTCAACGCAAACCTTATAAAATGACGAAGGAACTAAAGCCAGGTGCCAGTTTCGCATTGGAGTTATTGTTTCAGTGAAACATGACTGGGCCGCGTCAGCTTAACAGGTGGCTGTGAGGTGTTATAAGGCACCAGTAGAATTAGTAAGCGAAAATGTATACCGGCAACTTGGACGTGTTGACATCGGTAGATTGGTTAATGTAACAGCAGACACCAAAACAAGCACACTGCTAGGCGATAAAAGTATGCGCCCAACAAGTGCTGCAAGTTGCAATAAATTTTTCTCTAGATAGTAAAAAGAGTGCTTGCGTGTTTGTCGCTACTTCTTCAATGAGTCTGCTTGTTTTGTTGTGTACTGTTACATTAAAAATTCAAAGGTAACACCCAGAACAATTTTGAGCGTGGTGAAAAAGTACTGGAATACAAAGGTGTCCTTTGCCTTGCGGTAAGCTTACAATGGCCAGACTAGAAAATGTCTATATAATGGTGCAATAAACCGTGAAAGTCTGTCAAGAGGGCACCATTCACTCAACTTTTCCAGGTATTTATACAATTGCAGTGCAAGCTACTCTTCACTGATGTTGGGGTGTTATCGAGACACAATGACGAAACTATATAAGAAAAATAATCAAAGCGTTATTAATTTAGAAATGTGGAGACAGGTGTGTTAAGACACCTCCTGCATTAATCAATCGCTGCAAGGTTGCTTATAAGCGATGTTAACAGCTTTTCTTCAATAATGATTTAACACTTTAAAATTAGGATATCTGAAAATGACCGAAGATGTAAATTTTTATTCTGTTACTTGATGTTCTCTTCACATACTGCTTCTCGCACTTTTCTGCTTCATTACTCTTACTCGTGTCTTGAAACTAACCACTTTCAGGATAATATATGAAGAATACAAAAGACCTTGCCTTTATGAGGGCGTCCATAGATGTGGTGGATCTCGACTCGCTGCCCATCCTTGGGTAGTCTTTGAAAATTTTTAACGCCTCTTCCAGCAGGGCGCTGTGAAACTGGCGCAGTTCTTCCAGGTTTCTTCGTGGTCTCTAAATATACGGGAATGTGCTTAGTTTCGAATAGTCACATATTTCTTATACTATCACAACTCACGCTTCTCATTCCAGCCACATAATGTTTTCTTGCTTTGTCCATAGCATTCAGATTACATGCATTCGCAGTAGCCTGGAAAGGGTTTTCAGTACGGCATTCAAATTGTAAATACATGTTTTGGGACCTTACCAGCATTAAGGATGTTGGTTTCGGCAAATCACTTCACTGAATACACCCGCGTAAGCCTGGAAGAGCCGATATCATTAGCAATGTAGTTGCTGCACAAACAGCTAGCTTATGCGTGTACCTTGAAGAGTGTCATCAGTTCTTGGCACGACAGTGTTCGACCATTAATCTCCTTCACCAACAGGTTGTCTGGAGCTAGGATGGAAGGAACAAGCTCTTGAAGCTTCTCCCGAAACTCTTCGTTAATGTCTACAAGACGACCATTGAAGGACTTCTCGCGTGCCACCTGCAAAAATTAGGTCAGATTCCCTTTGTTAGACCTAAGGTATACCGCAGAACTTTCGTATTGCAAACATGGCAGCTTAGATGCAAATTAGGAGAGTTGCATTCTCGAAAGCTTCGCACGCTGCTGTAATTACAAGTGTCAGTAGTATTTTTTTTCATCTTTGAAATAAGTATCAAGCAAATATCAGCTATTCTGGATAATTGGTGTAGCAAGGAGAGGCATTCAGGTGGTTCTGAACAACCGATATATATTTCGCATGCGTAAATTCCCACGCGCAAAGTAAATACATGGACCACCATATGTAAAGAGTGATTACACCCTTCGCACTATTCTGACATTGATGCACATCAAAACAGTATCTTTGGTTTATTTACCATGCATAAATATTTTTGATCCACGTGTAACTACTGCACGCACTACCACTGGCGGGATAAACGTCCATATAGTAACAATCTTTCGGTGCCACTGCTAATTACGATGCCTCTAAAAAAAGTCGCGATATTCTCGAATTTCGGCAACTATATTTTTTTAGGCCTATTGCTAAGAAGGCTGATGTCGGAGTTCTGGGATTTGTGCACCGCAAAGCGATAAGCAATAGTTTTTTCTTGTACCACGATGAGGTCGGTGTTCATTGAAATAGAAAATGAAAGGGAGACTTTCTGACGAATGGAACACTAAGTATTACCGAAGAACCATACAAAGCAGGACCTACTTTAAAAAAAAAAAAGGCATTTCCCCCTTATTGTTACTTGAACCCAGCTGGGGCTCGAGATGCTCATAATACTCGTACCTTATCTCCTGGATGCGGCATCAGGAAGCAGTCGATGTCCGAAAAGCTAGACTTGATGCTCTGGCGCAATGTCTTCAGCTCTGTATCTTGTCCATCATTTATCTCCAGACGACTAGCGATGAGTGCTCTGCCACCACGAGAGCCGAACTCCCACTCATACGGCCAGTTCCAGTCTCGAACCAGGAAGAGAAGCTTTTGAAAGGGGTGTCTCTCATTTTCCTGTGATGGTACAGCTAAGTCAGTTGAAAGTGTTTTGTAGCATAGGTAGAGTTAGCGTAGTCTTGTAAATACCTTGTGCGCAAGCATGCCGTACTCGGCAAAAAACTGAAGATGTTGCAGGTCATCTTCTTTGATGTTGCTCATTACGTTGTAAATCTGCACAGAGCTGGTCATCATAGAAAGCGAAAATATCATGGTGCTCTCTTTCATTGTTGACTCGCAATCGAAGATTCCTTGTGTGTCCATCAGTAAAACCGCAACCTCCTCCCCCTTCGAGTTAGTCATCTGGAAATAGAGGTTCAATTACTAAACTCACACAACGGCATACAAGACTCACCAAAAAAGCTTCACTCCATATCAAGATGCCCGTTGTCTCGCGAATACTGCCCGGCCGCCACTGGAAGCCAATCAGCGGGGTTTCTTCATCATCCATCCAGTTGGATCGACAATTGTTCTGGAGGTACCGCAAGAAGAAGCTTAATAGAAAAGATTTTCCTTGTCGGTATTCTCCAGCGATTGATATCACGACGACCGGACGATCTTTCACGTGGTCAGCCAAGAGGATGCGCTTGAGCTCAGGCTCGTTGAACTCAATGCTGTGGTCAACCTTGACTCGTATTATTTGCACTGGTTCACCTCCCATTGTGAAAGTCACGGTGCGCAACCTGCGCAAAATGGAGGACTGCATGGCCCACTTTTCCAGCTACACCAAAAGGTGATATGGCATCACTGTGCTAGTTGTTCCCTCTTGGTGCACTTCATGCACTGCCAAGTAAGACAGGACGAGAAAAAAAAAGCGAGAAAGAAGGCACAGTGATGCGCAAATGGTGATTTATCAGCACCGCCATAACGATTGACTAGCCCCTATTGCCGACTTATTATATTTTGGGGTAAGACGGACCAGAAAAAAACAAAAATAATATAGGGTGATGAGTGATGAATGAGCCGAAAAATTATTTACACTCAATGTGCCGTCGAGCGTTGCTGGCAGTGGCAAGAGTAAAGCGAAAGAGAGGCGTGTTGCGAGCGGGCAGATGAGCCGGCACAACGCCGACTAAATTTCAAGGCCGAAAGGCTGCCGCAGTGACGTCAGAGGGTGGGGGCCCAGTTACGCCACGAACGCGGCGGAAAGCCTGTGTTTCGTTCACGTTATAGGAGAACCAACGCTCCCGCAGCTGCTGCGGCTAGATTGGGCCGAATAAAAGATGTGGAAAAAAAGTCTTACTGAGCATGCTCAGTTGGGCAACTGGGCTTCCAACCTCTGATGTCACTGCGGCAGCCTTTCGGCCTTGAAATTTAGTCGGCGTTGGCCGGCAGCTGCGAGCGCTATGGTGAGGGTGCTGCGGGTGAGAGAGAGTGGCGTCCACACGCACCTACGAAAAACACGTGCGAGGGAAGCGTGACGTCACAGTGCAACTTAGCTGACCTACTTGACACCGCTCCAACACCTGCAGCGAAGGAGACGCGTTGTGGTGCGTTCGTACGGCGTTACACGCGTAAGCAAAGGAACTACTTCACATTTAATAATTACGAGAACACCATGCTGGCACTTCGGAGTGTCAACTTGCGAGTCAGCGTACTGTAGGAGAATATTAAAAGCTGGGTATAATAAAATAATGGTTGAACAAAAACACGCAATAAAAAGTTTCATACGAACCAGGCCTAGCTCGTGGTGCACGTACGGGAGTTAACCATGTGCCGCCTAAGGTGTCGCCAGCCTACGTAAACGAAGAGGGTGCCCGGTGTTGCAGCCAACTAAATTCATTGCGCGGGAGACTCCGTAATTCTCTTTGAGTAAAACGAATTCTCCTTGGTTATTTTTTCTCCGAACACATACGAGCCCCCTATCGGTGCAGGTGCAGGGAACAGACGCTAGCACGGTTGCCGAATGGGTAGTTGCCGGAAGTCTCTTCTCACTGCGAAGCCCCTTGGAGAAAGGCTGTACGGTCAAGATTTCCAGACGTTTGAAACAGTGAACCTGTGTCCTTTCTCGTTTTAGGGGCGAAGCTTCTTATAGCGGCACCCGTTCATCCCTTGTAGTCTGTAACAATTATAACATTTTGACCTCCAAGGTAGTGCCGGTGAGAGACTTCTTCTGTGCGTTGTTGAACAATAAAAAATAGTGCACAATGTACATGTCAATGGCTGCTAATGGGGAATGAGAGACAGGGGCATTCGGCTTTTAGTTAACGCGCAGGCTGCGATCACCATTAGCAGCCATTGGCATGTACATTGAGCACTATCTGACAAGAAAGGGTTGCTACGTTATACTCGCTGGGTGTAACCTCCTTAGCTTTAGAAAGGTTTAGCGAGCGTTTAGCCGCAGTGCCATGAATACAATGAACTTGTATATACCATGAATGAACTCGAGGTGGTTAAAAATGGGAAGTGGATACGAAGTCCAAGCCGTAAGAAAGTGAAAGCCGAATTCTCCACCTCTCATTTCCCATTAGCAGCCATTGGCATGTACATTGAGCACTATCTGACTGAAAAAGTTTGCTACGTCATACTCGCTGGGCGTAACCTTCTTGGTTTTCGAAAGGTTTAGCGAGCGTTTGGCCGCAGTGCCATGAATACAGTGAACTAGTATATACCATGAAATCGAGGTGGTTAAAGGTGGGAAGTGGATCCGAAGCGCAAGCCGTAAGTAAGTGTGCGTGTGCCACCTCTCGTTTAGTCCTTGAAATGTCCGCTGGATGGCGGGGCTTCTATATGGGGAATATATGATGAAAACATGCGAGATGGTGGTACTTGGAGTGTTGAATAGATGGACGAACGGACACATAGACAGATGCATGGATGTACGCATGAACGGACGCAGGGGCGGCTGCATGGACGAACGCAGGGACGGACGCACGAACAGACGCACGCACGGACGGGCTGATGGACGGACGGTCACACTGACGGACGCATGGACGGACGGAAGCAAGAACGAATGGACGGACGAATTCTTCGCCCCCTTTTCCATCATTCACTCCGTGAATATGCTGCCATTTTTTAAGGTTCATCCATTATCTGGCAGCGCGTCAAAAGCATCAAGACCACGTAAGAATGTAAAAAAAAACATATATTTTTAAAACTATAGCGCGTATAGCGTTTCAGTGAGAAAATTCTGCAGCTTGCTTACAAGGCGCCTATAACAACTATATTTGCAACGGGAGCAGCACGCACGTGGTAACGGTAATGAATACCTCTCAGTGGTACGAAGAAAGAAAGAAACGTTCAATCTACATTCACTTAAGAACCAGCCCACCAAATACAATACGCATTGATAGAGTCGCATGCCAAAAATAACTCAGCGTGGCGGATAGTGAAAGACGCACTTTCTCTCGCATCATGCAGCTGATGGGAAGAGCCGAGCAAAACACAAGTCCCTTTCTTTGTCAATGAATACAAATTTCACGTTTCATGCAGGCAGAGATAATGGGGCATTGTATCACTTTTTTTGTTCGAAGTAGGGTCGCAGCAGCGATAGACAGCCATTGCGATACACTTCCGCATTTCTACTGTACTGTATGCCTACAGTGCGAAAAGCCAGCGCTAAATCGATGGTGTGAAGCATACCCCCTTGTCGGCCCGTTTCAGCTCTGCCAAGCGTTTTATGAAAAAATATATAGTTTCCGGTTACTACTTTCTGCGCTGGTAATTACGGAACAATGAATGCAGCGGAGAGCCCAGCTTTCCCTCCTAATCATGTTCTGCTGGCGCGTTCTCTTCTCGGCCACCGTTCCGTCGCGCTTTGCCAAACATCGCATGATACAACTAGCCCACAAATGCACTTTGAAACATGCTTCGCAGCAATATTGTTGATACGCCGCCAATCAGGCCGATAAAGAACAAAACAGTGATAATAGGTCTTCTCACCTACTATTGTATGGCACTGTCCAGGTGATGTATGCCGACCACGAAGTCCAAAAGCGCTGCAGCAGTTACGGCGGGCGGCATGCCCTAGCGACAGCGTATGCAGATCACCACGCTCACGACCTTCGCTCGACAAACTGAGTCTGAGCGGCTTTCGCAACGACGTGACGGCGATGCAACGAGGGCTGCTGTGAGAGGAGTCTAGGCGTTAGCAAGAAAGGGCGGCGAGTGGAACGGCGACTCTGCTGCAGCTTCTTAGAAAAGACGGCCTCGGCAGCTAGAGGCGCGGGAAAAAACTCTCCATGTTAATTCTCCACTCCGCCGCGGTGGTCTAGTTGCTAAGGTACTCAGCTGCGGACCCACAGGTCGCGGATCGAATATTGGCTACGGCGGCTGCATATAACCGTGGAGGCAAAAAATGATCTAGGTCCGTGTGCTCAGATTTGGGTGCACGTTAAAGAACCCCAGGTGGTCGAAATTTCCGGAGCCATCCGCTACGGCGTCCCTCATAATCATATGGGGGTTTTGGGATGTTAAACTCCACCTGTCAATCAATCATTTTAACTCTCCCTGCCCCCGAGCACAATGGCATCGCGTGATGACCACCAGGTGCAGTTAGCGGCATTGCACGTGCACAGACGTTGAGATCGATGAATGACCGCCCCGACCACTTCTGCAGCCACACCGGTGGCCGCCATTCTAAATTTGCATGGTACATGGCTAACAAGTCTGTAGACGACCTCGCGAAGCTAGCGTGTAAAGCTCGAAGGAACCGTGTCAAAACATTCGAGGTGCGTAAGCTTCGAGTTGTCCAGGTGCGCGTGAGACAGCTGGAGAGCGGGGAGGAGTGTGGAACCTCGCTAAGGTATATTCCCCACCACTGAGCGAAATGGTTTATAATTTAATAATGTTGAAAGCAGTGCAAAACGACCGTACAAGTTAGCAGACACTTACACTGCCAGCGTTCTAAATGTATTCTTGTCTTGACCTTCGCCACGCTTTCAATATTACGGAATCCCAGGGATTGCCCTTGATACAATGGTTTTCATTTCTTCTTCCATCATGAACCACGCTCACTCTGAACTGAAGAGCGTGTGGCAGGGCTATCAAGACAAAGTGCCAAGTTCGTTTCGTAAACATAAACTTAGTTTTGTAAACATAAATTCGCCATCCCCGCGAGAGATAGTCGCGTGAATAGCTCTCTCTGGTTTCGACGCGCATACGCGATAAATGATTGAGCCAGCTTTCATATTGATATGTAAGATTTAACGTCCTAAAACCACCACATAATTATGAGAGACACCGTAGTGGAGGGCTCCGGAAATTTTGACCACCTGCGGTTTGCAGACCACAAGCTCTGCAGTAGCGGTGCGAAGTTTGAAGCAAGTGCCGAGTTGCGAAGCTTACTTTGCTTGTCTTTAGTTTTTCTATCTTACTCTTCTCTTTGTGGCCTTCGTATTTTTTACTGCCGTTCTTTTCCTTTTTTTTTTCTTTCTAGCAATTTCGCTTTCTTTTGCTCTCCCTCTTTTTCTTTTTTGTCGTTTTTTATTTATGTCTCTGTTTTCGACTACTTCCTCTTTCTTTCTGCACTATACCACTAATTTTATGCTGATTTTACTGAAGAGAATGTACCAAAATGTACATTTCTTCTAGATAGAAAAAGCTCTTCCCTTATCAACCGTAATATGAATACACTTCCGGGAAAAGTGTAGTTGTAAAATAGAACGTATTTTCGTTTCCTAACTACTCTCTATTGGACTGTTAAGACACAATAAAACACTGTTTTTTAGCTTCAAAAGTACCATGCTGTTATGGGTTATCATTCAGCCAAAAATATGATTCAGCTGACGAAACTGTTCCCTCGCAATCGAGGAGAAGAATAGCCGAGCTGTCGATAAGCGTCCATGAAGCGAAGTGTCTAGATTGACGATTGCTAACGGAGAGGGAAACAGTGTCGTCATTGAGGGCGTTGTCTAAGTAAATGGTGTATGTGCTGCTTGGAACGTCGGTTTCGAATTCGCCAGCGAAATTAGCCACATTTCGCCACTCCACGGTGCTTACCAATGGCCGTCTTTCCGAAATTTCTATGTAGCTATAGAATATTGGTAGGAAGTACCTGAATTTCCTACTTGACTCGACCAGTTACTTTCACTAGTTCGAAAGTTAATTGCTTTAGTTTCTGTAATTACTGCAAAAATGATATTTGTACACACCTGGATATGCGGTCTGCCAAATTGAAGGGAACGCCACAAGCAGAATGCAGATGCCTCCTTTCTGTAATTTTAAATGATATTCGACACAGTTCTTGAAACTCGGTATAACAGCGCGAACACAACGCAAATACGAAGTCGCCGCGGAGTGCAACGGATGCGAGCGTTGCGTAATCCAAACGAGGAAGTTGGAGCGCATGATTGCAACGACGGACGCAACGCGTCTTCAACGGCACTGTTTCCTTTACCGGCGAGAGTGGCTGGCTCTCTTGCTCCTCTCGCTAAGATGCGGGTGGAATGCGGATAGATTCAGCACTGTTTCTTTGTCCTTGTGCGCGCTAAATCAGCATTGGAACCAAATTTCAAATACTTATGCAATCTCTATGATCAATAATATTATCTGGGGTTTTACGTTCGAAGAACAGGATGTGGTTATGAGGGACGCCGTCGGGGAGAGTTCCGGAAACTTCGACCATCTGGTGTTGTGTAACCTGCACTGACATCTGAACGCGCACGACGTCGCACGCTTTCACCGCAGGTTTCCAAATAACAACGGAACCACTGTAGAGGACGACGACGAATCATCAAACACGATTAGACCACTACACGAATGGGCTTTCAATAGCAAGGCAACAACTTTTAAAGGAGCCCTAAAATTGAAATACAATTTCTTTAAAGCAAAGGGAGTCAAAGCTAACTAATTCAAACTTGATTCACTAATTCAGATAGGGCCTGTAGGGCTTGGAGATCTGGACAGCCAAACAGTACAGCTTCCTATAGTCCCGCGGTGTTGGGTGCGGGACAGTGTTGCGGAGTGGACGCTCCAGAAGCGGAGTGAATCCGGAATCATTTCAAATTTTCAGGACCTCAGAAGAAAATTGAAATGAAGTTGTGCATTCTGGAACACTGGTGCGGGAGGTCGGAGAGTTAGAATAGGATTGGCATGCGCACACCATTCGTTAGGTGTCAGATAACTCTTTTTCACAGAGCAAACATGCAACACAACAGTGATGCAGATGAGGATGAGCAGTCAGCGCTCCGACGCCCTGGAGTTGCATTCATAGAGAAATCGAAGAGGACTTAAAAGGTTTGCTGAAGAGAGTTGACTAGTCAGAAATGGTGATCGAATTGAATTTGGGTTCCGGAGCTGGCTTTGGATGAGGCGATGCCCCTTGAGTAGCCAGACACTCGGGCAGTGGCGTCGGCTGCCTTGTTTCCTCAAGACCTGCATGAGCCGTAGCCCAAGCAAATGGCGACGGGTCGGATCTGCGTACTCCCATGCGTGGACGATTTCGAAAGCGGGGTGTGAATTTTTCGTTTGCTCATTATTGCATCAGGCGCCCCTGGGTCCAATGATTATTTAATAAGTCGGGACTCTGAATTTGAGGTGGCGAGTGCAATAGAAATCTGCTTCGCAAATATAATGCTTGGGGCTCAAAGAGTAAGACCCTGATGGTTCGGTGAATGACGACCGCAATGTACCAACTCTAACAGAAATTGCGTTGCACCACAAAAAACAACAAGCCGAGCATCCTATAGCCACTAGTCCACTGTGACAAACCTTACACTTAAGCGCGTAAACTCTTATGACCTTATGGGGTGAAAATTTGTGATTGACAATCACAATTGTTTTGTAATGGTATGGGTACACATACAAAGAGAAACACGTGAATGCATACACCTACCGAAAATGCCTTTCGTCTTATGTATTTAGCTTCTACTGCAAAACCGACTTGGTCATAATAATTATAGGCTATAGTGATCGAGAACACCAAGATGTTAGCTTCAATGTATGTTAACGTCCAAATGTGCTTCAACAATAATGTAGTCATCCGCTATTAGAAAATCTTCGTGAATTTATGTAAGTCATTTGTATATAATTTGAAATCATGTCACTTTCATGAGCACGCCAAGCCTAACTCTAGAAAAACAATTTGTGCTTGGCATCTTTAGGCAGCATTAACTAATACCAATTGCGACTACCATTAGAAGTGACGTCAATCGTGTCAGTAATAATTATACTTTGCTCAACGAACACTTTCTAATGGAATGAATTATTTCCTTTCCGTGTAGCTATTCGCATCTCTGATTTTTCTGTGGAACTACAGGTAATAAAGCACCTCAGGGGAAGAATCATGTTGTCGACGTACGCGAGAGGATTACATTATAGTGGAGCGTCTAAACTCAAATACAAACGCAAGCAGGTTAAGTCCCAAAAACCGAGGGATCGCGTGGCTTTCAGGCGTTCAAATCATTTTAATTTTAGTTAGGTAATAATTTATTTTTCAAACGAATCATTTTACAGTGAACAGCAATCGAAACATTGCGCAGCGTAAAGCAGGTTGAGTTAGAGAATACCCAAAGTCTATCAGTATTCACAACCCTCTAGTCACTTCCTTCCTACTAGTCATTGCCTGAGCTGGAGCGCTTTCGCGTAACGTTATAAAAGCGTAATTGCAAAACGTCCTGCCCCGCCTCATGTGGCAGAGACATATGCCTTGAACAGAAACGTCATTCTGTTCTGTAGAGTAGCACGTCACTGAGGACTGGTACAGGCAGTATGATTACGGAAGCAAAATAGTCAGACCCATGAAGCCACAGGGCGCAGGGTTTTGCCCTTCCCTCATCCAGCGACACGGGCCAAACAGTTACGCTGGCGAAACACCCACACTTTGTATTGTTATACCAACCACTTGTATTGTTATACGAAGTAATGCTGACCGCTAACATTTTTAAATGCAGTCTTGCGTAGCTCTACAAAACGCTGGATTTGGAGAATACGACGTTTACTTTATGTAGGGCCAACACCAGCGTAATTTACGGTTACTCACTGATACTATGCGCAGAGCTTCAACAAAACGTCCTGATCCACTTCGTAGAGATGCGTGAATTTTTTTCCCTCTAGTAAGATGAACCAACGTCGACGTGGCTGACAAGGAGACTATAACGTACTAACCATCCTGCTTTGCGAAATTCGCTTCTTCCTAACGATGAATGTTCCTCAAACAGTCTGTTGGCGAAAGCGTGACGACTGTCCTGTGCTTTATATGGGGTGTGTTTTTTTAAAGCCAAATTCAAAAGCCGAAACTCGGCTAAACTTCACGGTGTCATAAAGTGCGCCAAAGTACCTTATTTTTAAAACCATATTTAATTAAAAAATCTACTGGGTAATTATTCAATTTAAGATGAAGTCAAGAAGGCAATTTCTCATGACAGAGTAAGCCAGATTTTTCACCTGTTTAATTGAAACTGAGTCAGAGTCATTATTCCAGTGCTTCGGGAACTATCATGACCAAAACAAGCAACATGACCTCGTCTGATCTGTTTTATTTGATCTATGGTGCTTTCTTGACAGTTCACACTTACGGAAAAAAAGGGGGTGCTGTAAGGATGACCTCGAATATAACAACTAAACGGCCAAGCTTTGTACTTCTTTCTGCCTTGTTTCTTTTCCAGCTTTGCACTACAATATCCTGTCGCTGTTTCACTTCAAGACGGTATACTTGAAATCGAATGAAGCTGAAATGCAGATATTAGGGTAAAAATTAATTTTCTTCAAAAACTATTCATCTGTGACGGCATCATAAAAACTAGATACAAAGAAGACGTAGAAGTAGAAACGAATTCTCTGAAGTATTTAAAAATGCGAGGAACACGAAAAGCGATGCCGGTGGTGCAGTCATTTTAGAAATCCAGAAATAACTATTGCACCTAAGAAACTAAAAATGGCACCGATGGAAGTATAAGGAAAGTGTTAATCTAACGTCGGGTGATGTTCATATATGATTCATATGCTGCGATTCAGACTTCTGATTGCTACATCAAGCACGAATGAACTTTTGCAATCTTGAAGAGCCAGATGCGAATTTCATTGTGCAATGCTGAGGCTACTTGAGCTTAGGAACAATGCAGATTTTAGGTATTTCGCTGACATGAACACACGATTTAGAATTGTTGAAGCTGGCCCGACCAGTAGAACAAAAAGAACTGTGTTTTTCTTCGTTCAAGTTAACGCGGAACCACACAGTTTTTGTCGGTACATCTACGTCATTAACTACTGCACGAATTTGAACACATGAACTTCACATCGTGACAACAACAAGTGAGTAATAAGCACAGATGATGATTCTTTGAACTACGAGCATCGTTTTGTTGGACTTGCCTGCAATTTTAGCGTTATATGTCATATCGCTGGCTTCCTTAAGAGTTGAATGACATTTCAATGTTTTTTCGCTATATTGGGAATTGCGGGAGGATCAAACACAGCTGTCAAAGGTGTTGCTAAAATCAATCCAAAGCCTCTGAAGAATTTGGCTACTGGATCTTCCTCAGACTAACTAAATTTTTCTTTCATTCACACTCTCCTGCACCTCGTTTCTGCCTTCTATCTGGCGTGTTCTGTTTCTCTTGTTGCTGGCTTTTTTTTTCAAACACTCATTCCCTCTCTTCATTCTTGCCATCTTCACTCCAAACATTTCTCCATATCTCTTCTCCCTTTCTCTTCTTCCTCTTCGTTGATGAGTGCTTCTTCTTCGTTGAAGAGGCGATGCAACTATTTTTTAAACTCTTGCAAGCAAATAACATTGGTCAAATATCCTTGTCCTGAAAACAACGAATAGAAAAAAATTTCGCAGTACTAATTCCTTCTTTGACGAGACTAAGAGAGAAAGAATAAATAGAAAGAAAGGCGAAGAGGTTAGCCAGAACTGTAGCATCAGACAAGAATGTATAGGAGTCGGTGATATAACTCAAGGTCAACTACTACCTCTGATTGTTGCGCCTATTAAAAGCTTATTGCAGTAACTCTATCTTTAGATAGATAGATAAATAGATAGATAGATAGATAGATAGATAGATAGATAGATAGATAGATAGATAGATAGATAGATAGATAGATAGATAGATAGATAGATAGATAGATAGATAGATAGATAGAAATTGCAAAAAGTAGGGAAAATTGATGTCCTGTAATTCCCTTGACGGGCGGACATCGTCTATTCCAGGCAAGGTGGTCTTCACTGTCCAAGCTGTTCAATATTGTTCCTGTGCGATTGGGTGAAATGCTAACTCTGAGAAGTGTGCGGGCCAACTGTAACTTTTTGTGATGAATGTGTGAATAATGCGTAAGCAAGTTAGTGAGCACACGTTTGATACGGCATTGGTAGGGTTGATGATAATAAATATAGGCCAAGTATAAGCCACCTACCGCACAATGTGGGGCTCATCGTATAAGTATAAGCCAGGGCATGATGAATGGAGATTACTGAATCAGGAGCTGGGTCCGTGCCAGGTAACAAAATACCAGCTAGAAGTAGCGTTCTGTGTGTGATCTCCTTGTCCGTGTTTTCATGCACTTACCGGTCGGGATGTGTCGGAACACGGTAAAGTTCGCGCAAGTACACTTTTCAGCCGGCACCGTATTACCGTATTATCCATGCGGTAAGGCGACATTAATAGCTAACACACTGATAATATTAGAAACGAAGGGTAATTGGGAGCTGCTAGTGTTTGGAGACTGTTAGGTGAATCGCGTGCAGCCCACAGCGCAACACCACTTGTCACCCATCACAGACACGCCCATAAGAAAGTGAAATGGACCGAACGGCCAGAATCTTTGCCTTGTGAACAGCAGGTGCTGTAGGGGAATCTTCGTCACTGCCGTATCTTTGCCCTAACTGACATTACGGATAATGTTTCCAATAATTGGGGAGATCCAGGTGGGTAAGTTGATGTAATCAATCACGTTCATTGTAATCAAACTGCGAACTTTCGCAGCCTGCATTTTGGAATAAATGACAAAAACATGCAAGAAAAAGTACTGTGTAGTAGAAAAAAAAATGTCAGCACCCAAGCCTTTCATAGAGATGGGTAACCAACGAAACCAAAACGTGCGGTTGCCGACGCCGCAGATGAAACCAAAGCGCCGCTTGAGAAACCCGCTGAAAGCGGATGTCAGACCCGGCGAACGCGTTTCGTGCATTGCCGCCTTAGCGCTATTTCGCCGACGACGCTTCCTCGGTTCGCAGTTATCGCTTGTTTTCAGCTCTGGAGGCTGCTGGATCTTCGGTGCGTTGTTCCTGGTTGCGCTTCGCCTCGTGGGGCTGTTCTTGTGCCCTTACTGCTGGCAATATGGTTGATTGTGCAAGTTGGTGATACATGATTGTTTTGAAATGCGAGCGCACTACTTAGACGCGGACAGAAAGACAGGGACAAGCGCTTGTCCCTGTCTTTCTGTCCACCTCTTACTAGTGTGCTCTCAACTTCCTGGCAAAGGCTGCAGCGACAGAAAGCCCTCTCATAGTTACTCTGCTGACCCTAGCACGTTTGGATCGCGTGATCAGCTGACTGAGAAAGGAATATGGAGGAGGCGGTATATGTCACGTGGAATACGTCACCACGTGACATATTCCTCCTTATCTGAAGATGGAACACATTCCTCTCCGTCGCGGAGGAGGAATATATCACGTGGGGACATATTTCACGTGACACATTCCTCCTCCTTCTTATGCATGCTGGCATGTTTCCTGCGCGATAACTGCTGTATATATACTAGGTCCCCCAGCTATTCCCATGAAGTGCTTTGAGAAGAGCCACATCCCGACTCACTCGCGAGGACTGCCAATATTTGCCAACGTTTCTACCACACCCAGGGCTTCTCGACCACCGTAATAACTCAGCCAAGAAAAGGCGAGCCAACTTGAGGTGAGGTGATTAACATTTTGGGTCTAACTGTGTGTCCGTCTGAAAGCGCAGTATTGCAATCGCTTCTCTTGCGTTGGTAGTGTAGTATTTCGCTACACGATGCACAGTATTTCTACTTGCTTGCCACTGCCTGTTATCTGCTAAAAAAAGTATCAGCTTTGCCGTAAAGGCGAAGCAATGAACGCGATAACAGCAAATCGGAAGGCCCCGGTAAAATGACAAGCAGATCGAAACCTGCCCCAAGTTTCTCCCGCACAAATAACGCACGAAACGTACTGAGAAGTACTGAAGAACTCAAATAAGGGTCTTAGTTGTTAATTCACCGTGTCTGAAAAGCGTGCCCTTTTCGCAAACGGAGACTGAAACGAATGCTGTGACCTTTGCGCGCCCGGTAACCACAACAGAATCGTTCCGAAGAAAGACCAAGGCACACAAATGTATCCAGCGCAAGATAAGCGAGCTCACGCGTGAGCGTGCACCCGCCTCCCTTCTCTGCTGAGCAAACACGCTTGCGAGATGAGATCACGTACCACCCAGTCGTGACGATCTGCCGTCGCTAGAGTGCTTTGATGCACGGGCGAAAGAGCTAGAGTGCACGAGGATGGATGGATGGATGGATGTGGCTGTACCCTTTAGATCGGGTGGCGGCTAACGCCACCTAGCCATAATACTTAGTGAACTAACCATTACATTTATCTTTTTTTCCCTTTAAATAATCAAGTTGAGGATTCGTGCTTCGCAGTGAAGGATTTAATTTTCACTCGTGCCTTGACTTTAGCCACCAATCAGATAACCTCCTTCTAGTTAAGTCTACCCGCTTAAAGTCTATTTTGCCCTCGCTGTCCCTAAATCCCAGTGCTTTGAAAAACTCTGCGCCATCATCCTGAACTATAGGGTGAAGCCCTTTACAGAACATTATCAAGTGTTCGGCAGTTTCTTCTTCCTCTCCACACGCACTGCATACTGTGTCTACTCCTTCGTATTTGGCCCGATATGTCTTGGTTCGCTGTACTCCCGTCCTGGCCTCAAACAGTAAAGAACTACCCCGAGTATTATCATAGATCCTTTCCTTGGCAATTTCCTGCTTAAAAGTTCGATAGATCTCTAGTGCGGACTTCTCAATCATGCCCATTCTCCACATGTCAGTCTCCGTTTCCTTCACTTTCTTCTTAACCGATAGTTCTTTTTGGTTTGGCCACCTGCTGTTTTTTAAGTATTTACCAGTCAACTTCCTGGTTCGCTTCCTCCATTTTGTATCGACATTCTTCATGTACAAGTAGCTGAAAACCTTCCTAGCCCAACGCTATTCCCCCATTTCTCTCAATCGCTTCTCAAATTTTATCTTGCTGCTAGCTTCCGTGCCCTCAAATGATGTCCATCCCATATCACCTTGTACTCCCTGATTTGGTGTATTCCCGTGAGCTCCTAAAGCAAGCCTACCTATTCCACGTTGCTTAATTTCTAATCTTGCTTGAACTTCTGATCTCATGCACAAGACCGCATTGCCGAACGTCAGCCCAGGAACCATGACCCCTTTTCATATTCCTCTCACAACATCATACCTATTGTAATTCCACAGTGCCCTATTTTTCATGACTGCTGCATTCCTGTTACCTTTAGTCGTCACGTATATTTCGTGTTCCCTCAGATACTCGGTCCCATTGCTTATCCATACGCCCAGATATTTGTATTTATCTGTTATCTCTAGCGTGACCTCCTGTATTCTAAGCTCACTACTTTCGTTGTCATTGAAAATCATGACTGCTGATTTTTCCTTACTGAATCTAAAATCTAACCTATCTCCCTCATTACCGCAGATGTCCATCAATCTCTGCAAATCTTCCTTGTTGTTGGCCATTAGCACTATATCATCTGCCTACATCAATGCTGGTAGTGCCTGATCAATAAGTTTTCCTTGTTTGACTAAAGAGAGGTTGAAGCCCAGTCCACTTCCTTCTAATTTTGCCTCTAATCCTTGTAGGTACATCATGAATAATAAGGGTGACAGGGGGCACCCCTGCCTAAGCCCCCGTTTTACGAGCTAGAGCGCTCAGTGCGCCATCTCGCTGTTAATGCTTGAACACGACAGTTTCCACAAGATGTGCATCGCCAGCGGTAAGTGGAAGATACAAAGAGCTTTGAGCGATGAAAGAGGTGCTCCTTCGTGGCTCAGTGGCTAACGCCTCGCACTCGCAAATCAGTGGTCGATTCTGCGTGCAGGGGTCTTTTTCTGGATTATATTTTTCTTGCATTTTCATATCCGTAGATACGTGTACTTATACTCTGACTGAACCGGCGGCAAAATTCAGCTATGAAGGTCCATAAAATTGCTATTGCAATAATAGGGTAGTTCGCGCTAGTCCTACAAGCATGAAACGTATGCGGAGCTAGGCAGTCTTCTATGTTGGTGTTTGGTTTTCTGTGGCTTTCTTTCTCTCCTGTTTTCTTTTACAGTTCTTTGTGTGGTTTTTTTCTCTATATTTCCAATCAATATAGATTTTTCTTCCTACTTTTCTTCTCTCTCCTTCTTGTCATTTGCTTCATCTTAAACTTTTATACATCGTTTGTCTTAGCGAGTTGGCCTAGACATGGTAGAAATATCCGGAAGTTATATCATCATCCAGGCGCTTGATACATAAGAGAAAGAAGGCTGCTTTTTAGCTGGAGAGCAGTCAGTGCACTGCAGCTGGTTATACTACATGCGGTTCTGCCTTTAGTGTACTGTAGCTGGTTACACTATATGCGGTTGCGCCTGCGTTACAATAACGGACGACGGCAGCATGCGACAGCCTATCTGCTTGAAGTGCTAAGCACCTATTGAAATGTATCGGTGAATTGCAAGACTGGTTTAGGGGCCACAATGGTTGTCTGCCTATTGTGCTTATTCAATCTCAACTATTAACCGCGAATAACAGTCATGACCCAGTAGTTTAAGTATTCCTAAACTTGCAGTCAAAGAAGTCAATCGTATGCGCGTCCCCACGAGGAGATAGGCTCAGGCACGACATGTTTAGCAGGGGCTCTTTTGTATATTTCACCAGAAGTGACCGTATCTATGAGCTGCTCTTTATTATTTAGTTGGTGACCGATGGCACCGTAAACGCGCTAGGAGTAGAAGGAATACAGTCTTTCCTCTTTGAATATTTATTGATTTCGCTCCTCCTAGAGACACATAGACAGTCCGGTTGTTTATGGGCACTAAAATTGAAAGTAGTTCCATAAGTTCTATGCTGCCTCGATTTTTTCATCGTAAAACCTATACCAGCTCTGCCACACAGGTCTACAGTAAGCATGTCTCTAATTTACAAAGCGGTACTTTTGGTGAGTGAAGCACTTCGGTTCGTGTACTATTTATTTTCGAAACGGTTCCTTTTTGTAAGTATTTATGAATGCATTACAAACTTCTAGGCCACTATACTTATTGAACGAGAATGATTAACAAAGCTGATGATCCAACTACCTCTTTTCGGATTTCTTGAATAGATGCATAAATGTAGAGTTTCACTGAGGATAGCGGTATGTCCCGACACGCTGTCTCTGGGTGGAATTGGCACCTTCCTTGCTATGTTCGTTGGCACTTGTTACGTTCCACACGCATGTAAAAGACCATGGCAAAAAGCACTCATGGCACGCAATTTTCGACAAAGATAAATTTCTTTGGCTGTTCAAATCTTCGCGTCGTCTTTATTTGTGTTCTCCTAGTGGCTTATTTTCACCTAGAAATGAACCAGGCCATCTTAGGAAGCCATCTTTGTTTATACATGTCTGTCTCGGGCCATTAATTCATACTTCCCAACTATATTCTTTTCCCTCAAGCCGTTATGTCTAGCCAAGCGGCTGACACTCGCTCTTAGGGCGAGGGGGATTGGGGGCAAAGTGGCAAACTCTCACTACCCCCCTTCTCTCTATTTAGCATACCGAAACCTAACGTTTTCCATATGGTGAACCCTTGGCGAGCTCTATTGACGACATAGTTACGACGCACAATAACGCATACCAGCTATACACGCGGCGACAAGTTGTATTTGCGAATAGCTGACATCGCACCGCAATGAGCTCAGCGAAAGTCGAAGCGAGATAAGCATTCGCAAGCAGTGAAACTTGATGCCCTTCTTATCAGCGCGACAAGCAGTTCACCATATTATCGTTTCACTTGGCAGATAGATCTTAAAATCTTCACTCAACGCTTCACCATCACTTGAGGAAGCCGATGGGAGCGCCGTGTCTAAGCACGGCAATCACTGCATATTAGTGATAATCTTCCGCGATTCTTGAGTAGCGCAACGTCATTTTCAGCCGAGCGGTGGCGCAGTGCTCAACTCTGTCAAGTGAAGGATGGAAGTCGAGTTGAGGAGCGTTTGTGAATACCGTGGTCGGTGTTACACAGGCCTAGCCCGGACACCAAATGACCTGAGACGGTCGAAACAAACGTATTCACTGAAGCACCATTCGTCACATACTAGATAATCTCTCCAAGCATAGCCCTCTGTGTGACTGACGGACACCAGTGGCTCCAGTCAATATTTTCTGTACTGGTACGCCCAAACGATACTATCTAACACATTCGTTTACTCGCTCCGACTACCATAGCCCTGCCAGGACGAGAGGTTGGATGGTACGGAAGAATGTCTCGAAGGCTATGAGCGTGTCACCTGATTCAGCAGTTGGGAGAAAATACAAAAAACTTTTTTACAATACCTTTTTTCGCATTCCGATATCAGCACGTAAGTAGATTTTTTTTTTAGAATCACCTTGCTTCGTTTGTGGTCGTGGGTGTACCTCCCACGCCAGCTACATTGACTAGTAACGCTTCTTTAGACTGTGGTAAACTGGCGAAGGCCACTATTGAAAAGGACCAGTGGAACAAATAAATAGCGTTGATGTACGCTGATGACATGCGCCGATTCTTCCTTGGAGCCCACCCAATCATGACCGAGGAAACGTTGCTGCGCCTCTGTGTGCTGTAACGTGCTTTAATTTCTCCCTTTATCTCTCTCTCTCTCTTTCTGTATACCTACACTATCATAAGCGGCAGTCCTCAGAATCGATGCTGGGTCCATTTTAATAAGACGGCGATGAGACGCGAATGGCAACTGCAGTGGTGCAGTAATGACTCACTGAAGCAGAATAGTCAACGAAGCAGTTTCAACAGCAGATAGACTAGAATGAAAACATGACAGCTGTTCCGAATGAAACTAGGTGGTGCAAACTACATCGGTCTTTCCACATGGTGTTGTTGTTTGAGTAACTTCATCATTAAAAAAAACTAATTCCTGATAATATTCTCTCCTAAAAGAGCCAACCCCGTATGCATATGATCGGAAGGAAGGAAGGAAGGGAAATAGGAGGAAAAGAACGGCAGGGAGAATAACCAGCCTATAGGCAGCTGATTTGCTACCCTGCGCGTGAGAGGGGGATGGGGGAGACGAAAGATAGAGAGGGGAGGCACAGCTGTGGCTCAGCGGTGCATATGATCGCACTTGCCATTCGAACATGCAGGGTTGTTCGGCAAGATGAACTTCCGGCCAGGAGAGGATCCAGCCACTCATTTTAAGAGGAGCGCTAACCTAAAGTAACACCGAAAAGGCGGCGTGGTCATGACTTTTTGTTTTTACTAGCAGAAGAACGCTCCATAGCATAAGTAGGGTTAATGTATGCTGACAGTGGCTGCACTCATTTGTCATATTTGGTCACAGGAGGTGGACTCCAAGCACTAAAGTAAGGGATGGGGTGGTGTCACTGACTTTTTTTAAAGGAGGGAGGGGGCGATCGCTTCTACTACCCCTCTCCTCCTCTCGATCCGCCACTGCTCCCAGAAACTATCAGTGAGATATCATTTTGCCGTTGGAGAAAGACAGTGATTACTTCAATCTTGTCGGTTGAGAACTACCGTGAATAACGTATTAGGAAGAACATCTTGAAAGAAAAAAGGGAGTCTTGGAAGGCTGTATTACATTTATGCATATAACTAAAATCAAACTACTCTGCTTCGCCTGAGCGAGTGCAAGGATCAAAAATTGCATTTTCCTCAAACTTGTTTTGCCCAGTTAGAGCATCTCCTAATCAATTCAAATATGCATCTGTTCTTGAACGTGCATCATTTTATATTTGTTACATTTCTCGTTATTTCAGTATGAGTTAGAAGGTGGTACAGAGAATCTGTATGGTTGATTGCTTTCAGAGCAAGTTCTTTCTCGCAATATGTCCTTATTAGCTGCTGCACATACTCACACAATCATACAAATTTTATGCTGCTCAGTACTTGACGCAAATGTTCGTAAATAGATGAACAAAAAAAAGTCATGTATTAGTTTTGCCACCACTATATTTCTTTACACCTTTGTCACGTTTGGCTATTGACAAGTCCAGTTTCTTGAATTTTTTGCACACAACTACGCTGAGAGATGGCCAAAAACAGAATATTTTCATAAAATAATTTGTTAAATAAACACTAGGATTGTGCTGTTAAAGAGAAACAGCAAAGAACAAACAGGTCAAATTTATTAATTGAATATAAACACTAATTGAATACAAGCAATGGAGCGGCGAAGTTCAATTTGTAAACGAGTTGGGAAACACTTATTAACGGAATTTATTGACAGTTTGAAAAGCTCCACTGTCTTGTTTCATATTTTTTTTCGCATAAGCTTTGTCCTCTTTCTTTTTCAAAGTGCACGGCTGTAACAAATATACACATGAAATAAAACCATTCAGCCTTGAACAGGTTGAAAACTCAGACGAACTCTTAACAAATTTAGTGCCGTTAGAAAACAGCGCAATTTGATGAAAAGTAGCGCCCGAAGAGTTTTACTTCATCTCATATAATGATCATAAAAAACAATGCTCCACATATTTTCGCAGAGACTGTGCACATCGCTCTATGAAACTGCATGAGGCAGGATGACGACATAATCGATAAAGACATGACCACAACAACACAATTACCGTTAGGCTAATGCACAAAGTTTTAACCAAAGCAACGTGAGTGCTCTCCTAATGAGCACTTTAACGTAAATGTTTCTGCCCTAATACGAGGAGCAGGGAATTCAGTTACTAATTTGCTGCCGTTCTCAGTGGTGTTGCTGGCATTAGCTATTGTTCTTCAGCAACAAACACTTTTAGAAGAGATATTTCATTACCAAGCTATGACATGAACAGACTAGATGTTAATTTCCCTCCTTGGTAGCCACCAAGACCTAAAGTACAGTTGTAAGTCGAGGCAACAGTATCTAGAAGGGACATGTTCATGACATTTACAAAGTAGCTGGCACTATTCTATATTTATACCTATACCTGCTGTATATTCACGTGTATACAGACCATTCTCATCATGCGAATTCATCCTCTTCACCTTTTGTGAGCAATTCATGGAAGTATAGCAGACACTTTAATTATGTAGACTGACATTGCCTAATGTTTTGGAACTGCTTGTAGTTGTATCGGCCTTGCGCTTTATATAACACCCATAAAAAGGGCGCGAAAATGGGTCATATTTAGTGATCGACAAACCCTAGTGCATTCGCTGAAAAAGAAAAAAACCTTTTCTAAACACTCTCTCATTATATGAGACCCCAAAAAAACACACAGAAGCGAAAGTGGCGAACAACGCGATCGCATTTCAATGCATACCACGTCACTGCAGCATTCTAGAGAACGCTGTAGAGGATGCCACAGCAAATAGAGCCCACAATAACGAAGCGACAGCTACCCCTCCAATCTCACGCATGAAAATTCCTGCGTTCCTTAGACACCCAGATAACTTGTAGTGTCACCAAAGAGAAATGCTTCAATGAACAGTCTAAAAGTTCACGCTTATATTTAATGGACCCTTGCATATGACTACCCCTTCCATCGCAGTTGATAGAAAATAGGGGATTCGACACATTGATTCACCGACTACGACACTTCCTGGACAGGATAGAAGGTGCCTCTAAAAGGTTGTTCCTGTGGCCACCCTGATGAAGTTGTACATCATCTCCTTCTCGAATGCAAGAATTATGAGAAATAACGCAAAGTATTACGAGCAAGTTTGCAACTTTCAAACAGGAGGCCTTTCACAGTGAAATAACTACTATGTTCATGACCAACTGAAGGTTTCCTAATAAACGCACTTGCCGCCTTCAAGAAGTTTCTTGAAGAATTTAATATTTTACGGAAATGTTGGTCCACTATACACGACGTTTCGTTTCCTTCATACTAGATAAAGTGTGCAGTATTGAGAAAGTGTGTATAATATTATGTGTAAACATTTGTCTCAATGCGAACGTTCTGTGTTAAACTTCTTCACATGTGAACTTATTATAGGTATCTGAACTGTCATGTGATGTGAACTGACATTTTGTCTGAAACTTGTTTACATATGAACCTATTGGCCGTATCTGAACTGTCATGTGATGTAGAGCTGCGGGGCACTTTCATATCGTATGCTCCACTGCCTTGAATTTTGACCACCTAATGTTTTTGTTGCGACATATTTTGTTTGCAAAGTAGAAGGAGTAGCCGGTGCCACCATAATGGTACTAACCTCTCCTGTTTGTTCATTTCAATAAATATGTTATTAGTCTTCCTCGAAGAAATTTATACCTATTCAAGGAAAAAGAATAGGAAATTTAAGTTGTCTATACATTTGCTCATACTTTGAAGGACATTAAAAGGCTTGTTTCTTAGCTCCTATATTGTCAAAAGTATTGAAAAAGATAAAATAGGGAAATGACATCACACGAAAGCGAACGCCCAGCTCACACAAAATAGACAGTAGCAACATAAGGTTTGTATACGGAAACATTCTAAATGTGAATGCGTTTACAATTAGCAAATAAATGATGTAAATTTATCAGAGATATTTCGCCGCCTGATTCTGAAGGTTTTTCAGCATGGCTTCAAAACTATTACCGAATCTGTAACAGCGCTTACTAAATGAAGTAAAAGTTGTATAAACCAAAGTTACAAACATTTCTCTGGGATCACAGTTCGAAAATTGAATAAATCGTGCTGGCAGGTTTCGGATGTACCTCACAATGTCATTTTTGTGACGTTATTTCTATCACACTAAAAACGCTTGCAAAGTGTGCAATAAATTGGTAGCAGTTATTCAGGTAACCAATTAGAGTCAGTGTTTGGTTACCTTAAAATTTTCTAAGTGATTGTCACCTCAAGGACATTCACAAACTTTCATTGTATTTCCTGTATGTTTCAATTCCTGTTTCACTGTTAGCAAGGGGAGCTTCTCTGTGACAAGAGCGAAGGCCACGATGGGAACCATTAGCTCCACGGATCGTCAAAAGGCCCAGGATTCGACCGGGGCTGCTGCCGAATATTGCCTTAATGCTGCCTCAACAGTTTCAACTGTTGCGGGACCACTAGGCATACCGGTAGCGATTGGAATGTTAGTGGCCGGCGCTGGAGCAGCTGTTGCCAAGGTTGCAGTTTCAGCTTTGCCAGGTGATGAGGAGGAGTAGCAGGTCAGTGGCATGCAATAAACTATAGTCATTAAAACTAAATAATAAACAAGTTTCTTACTTAGAACAACTATTAGTAAATAGTACTATGTTCGAATAGGAAGTGCAGTATAGAATAACGACAAAACTCTGGCTCGGGGAACGTTAAACCCCACAAATTAATCATCAATCTGGCGAAGGGACCTTTAACTTATGGATTCAACACTGTATAAAAACTTGTGACTAACTCTGTGGAACACATTAATGCAGCGCCCGAGGGAAAACTTAGCCCCTCAAGTGATATTGCGTTGACATCTTTCTTCCTCATCGACTTAGTGCGCCTTGCATCATGTACCACGCAGTATAAAAACCTGAATGATTTCTTGCTCTGACAGTAAAGAACGAGTCAGAAATGGCACAGCGTATACTTGACGCTATCAGGTTCAAAAGGTTTTGTAAGCATCGCACTTGTGGTTTAGGTGTCAAGCCTGAAAGAAGAGCGTAGCTGAAATACCTTGCTTGCTTATCTTACTCTTTGTTACTTGTATCTCATTTTTATGTGTTTTGTACTACTTCTTTTTCATCTATCTATTTATCTTGATGTCTCGCTCATTTTACTTCATTTGTCATCCTTTCATTTTTTTGCTTTTTTTTCAATTTCTCAGTATCTTCGGTATATCTCTTTTTTTCTATTTGTGTATGTTTTCTCTACGCCATCTTCTTTGTTCCTTTGTAACTCTTGGATTTCTTCTTTGACTTTCTTTCTTTCTTTCTTCCTTTCTATCTTTCTTTCCTTCTTTCTTTCTTTCTTTCTTTCTTTCTCTTTAGCGTTCTCTTTTCTTCTCTTTCTATGATGCTCTCTATTTTTCATTTTAGCTTTCATGTGTTATTTTTGTTTGTTTCTGTCTGTTTATATCTCTAGTTCAATGTCTTTCTATCTTGGTATTTTACTTTAAATTTCTTTGCAAACCAGACACACTCTGATGGCATAAATACACTTCAAATACGAAGCATTTTTTGCGTATTGTAAGCACTTTTGACATCTATCTATCTATCTATCTATCTATCTATCTATCTATCTATCTATCTATCTATCTATCTATCTATCTATCTATCTATCTATCTATCTATCTATCTATCTATCTACGTAGCCGCCTACTTTTGGGTGCTCTCGTGATTACCGTGTTAACTTGGGTAAAGGAAATTTGTGTAAAAGGGCAAAATGGTCTCTCTATCTATCTACGTAGCCGCCTACGTTTGGGTGCTCTCGATATTACCGTGTTAACTTGGGTAAAGGAAATTTGTGTAAAAGGGCAAAATGGTCTCTCTATCTATCTACGTAGCCGCCTACATTTGGGTGCTCTCGTGATTACCTTGTTAACTTGGGGTAAACGAAAATTTGTGTAAAAGGGCAAACTGGTCTCTCTATCTACGTAGCCACCTACTTTTGGGTGCTCTCGTGATAACCGTGTTAACTTGGGTAAAGGAAATTTGTGTAAAAGGGCGAAATGGTCTCTCTATCTATCTACGTAGCCACCTACATTTTGGGTGCTCTCGTGATTACCGTGTTAACTTGGGTAAAGGAAATTTGTGTAAAAGAGCAAAATGGTCTCTCTATCTATCTACGTAGCCACCTACTTTTGGGTGCTCTCGTGATTACCGTGTTAACTTGGGTAAAGGAAATTTGTGTAAAAGGGCAAAATGGTCTCTCTATCTATCTACGTAGCCACCTACTTTTGGGTGCTCTCGTGATTACCGTGTTAACTTGGGGTAAACGAAAATTTGTGTAAAAGGGCAAACTGGTCTCTCTATCTATCTACGTAGTCGCCTACTTCTCGGTGCTCTCGTGATCACGTACATGACTTGGTAGAGCAATATTGACGTGGGAGTCCGTCGCGGTCTGTGCGGCAGTTACAGTGCTTGCCTGCTGACCAGATGGTCACAGGTTCGATGAATAGACAATGCTAATTGAAGAGAATTCCAGATCACTGTAAACCTGCTTTACATTGTGTATATCCTATGTATCTTTTTAAAAGTTCAAAGTGAATCACGTTTATTGTATTGTTGATGTGTTGGAATCTGGATCTTACTAGAGTAGTATTGTGATCTCTCCTCCACCCCAACTGTAATGCCATTACTTTCTGTGGGTGCTGTGATGAATAAAATGAATAAATATATACACCATGGTAATTTACAATGGAGAGTTTGAAAAAGGTGACAAGTCGGGAGAAAGTTTGATCATATCCTGACCACCCTTGGTGGCCTGGTGGTTGTGGTACTCCACTATTCCCCCGAAGGTCGCGGGAGCGAACACCGGCAGCAGCAGCCGAATTTCGATTGAGCCTAAAACACCAGAGGCCCGTGTAGTTATATTTGGCTGCACGTTTAGGAACCGCTGTTGGTAGAAATTTTTGGAGCCCTCAATTATGGCGTTTCAAACTATCAGATAAAAAAAATCACAACACAAATATATTGTTGAAGGCGTTTTTCCCGTGAGCATTCCGCGATTAGAGACAATGAAGCATCTATAACGCGGTGTAAACTGCAATTGTCCTTAGAAGGTAAAAAAATGACAATCATATCTCTCTGGTCACGACATAACTAACATGTAAATTCTTGCACGTTCTCAAACCCTTCTTTGAAAATATTCGCGCGTCCTCGAACCCTTCTTTGACATCAGTCAAATGCACCGATATATACCTGCAAACGGTCGCAGTATGCAGGTGTGCACCACAGGTGATTGACAGTTTATTTCTACGCAGACATGGAGCGGCGAGTGGTAGTTTGAATACGAGAGTTTAAATAATTTGCTCGACAAATGCAAGTACTATAATTCACAATACCAGCCGGAATCGAACTCAATCATTTGGCAGGACAGTTAAGTAATCTACCACCTAGCCATGCATGAAGTAGAAACTGCCTTTGGAAAATACTCTATGCGGCGTGACAAATGTTGGTGCACCGTAACTGTGGCTGCAGTACTGGCCATCTAACTTTATGAGACAGCAAGAAACACTTTTTATAACTCCCAGGAGTGAGTCATTACGTTGGCATAACGTCAAATGTGATTTAAGAGTTGGCACCACTTTTATAGCAGTTCAATAAAGAGCCCTTCAGCATTCTTATATTACAGTAAGCTATATTCAAGCGCTGCTTGAATGGAAGTGCTGATGTAACGTCATGCCATAAGTTACCCTTGAAACGCCAGTGTTGTCGACGTTCCCAGTTAGGCCACCATGTGCACACACCTGCCATACGCTTACCAAAACACGTCAATGCACCACGCAGCGCTTCACTCGAAGTTAAAAGTTGCAGCATTGACAATTACTCGCTGACTGCTTCCCATGACGCTGATATCCACACGCCATGGGCTTTGCCATTCTTTTATTTTACTTAAAATCGTATGTAAATTGATAAAAAGGTGGCGTACGGGTTTCAGAAATAGTACTGTTCTTCGAATGCTAAGCTTTGCCAATGATAAGTGAGCCCTAAAAGCAAATCACAATGCCTCCGTATTTTGTATGGAAACTGTGCATTACTACATTGTTTCAAAATTGTTTGTTACTTCATGCGTGAGAATGTATAAAAATAAAAGGAATATTTCACAATAGAACAACATTACACGTGTTTATTTTTATGAAAACACGTAACATAAAAATGCTACTGTACTAGATTACCATAATAAAGAAAGAAAACATGTAAATTTAGTGGAGTTTTCAAGTTGTGGGGCACGCCGTCAGGTACCGATGCAATTTGTTGCAAATATTTTGAGGGCAACTTATAGTTTGTGTAACCGTGGAAGCCTGTTTAGAATGAATAAAAACACAGCGTTAAAGTATTCAACATCACGAGGAAGTAAGTCTTTGCAACTGGTCTTTTCAACTTTGCAGGAATGCGTCCAACCGAATCCTGTGATTGGCACGGCAAGGGCACCTCCAGAAGACAATCTGCGGGTTCTTTTTCTTAAAAGCAGCATGTACTGTACCGAGGCCAGTAGCGCTAATCAACTGCGCTGGCGGTAACTTTTAGCCAAGAATTGAAATTGGTTATCTTATGAAATAAAACACGTTTCAGCAATGTATACGCGTCTTGGACTTTTTTTTTTAAGTTCGGGCCTATATGAGTAACGTATTGCACAGGCACCGACAGAGGCGTTGATACAGCGAGGTTTTCGCCTTGATTCATTTGCGAAGCGCTGCTATAATAGAAGGCTTTCAGTACTTTTTACTTTTACGGTACTGTATTCGCTTACCGGAAAGTACTATAATATATTTTTCTTTGAAAACCTGAACAATAAGTCATATGTTTTATCAGCGTTATTTTCGTTGTACGCACTTTTCGATTCAATGACACGTACAATATCGGAGAAAGTATTTCTAGCTGCATCATTCATACGCCTTTTAAAACATATCTACTTATTGAGTGAGTCGTATTCGGATTCCGAACACATAATGCAAGACATAAGCAAATGATCGTTTAGATCGTGTAAAAGCATTACTTTTTAAAATTTTTTTTATTTAGATTATTGACGCAGATGCCGAACAGCTGACCGTAGTTGTAGTTATTCTAATGGCAGAGTTGATGTTGTTTGTGCATCCGTGAGCAGACAATAATATCATTATGTCTGTAGTATATGTATCATAGGACATGATATCTAATTTGATGTCCCCCAAAGTTAAAAGCTTATAGTTAAAAGAAAACCTAGAAAGTAGAGTCTCCATGAAAATCATAAAATGAATTTTTCTTTACAATGGTGGTGTGTATAGAACAGGAATAATTGTTTTTTCAAGGAGCATTACTATGCGTTCAACATAATCTATAATAATAGAATACTTTTCTCGTACCTTTTGAGAAAATCTTCCTTGAAATGCAAAGCACCGCCCCCCTTCTTATTATCCCGACATAAATATCTCAGGAAATAAAATAATAGGCGAAGTAGGTATTCATTTTTAGTGGTCCATGTTCCCGATAATGACAGCACATCAAAATTAACAGATAATGACTCTAAAAATACAGTAATGTCATCTACCATCTTCTTATACTTCTTCAGTTTATGTGTAACGAGGCAAATGATTCATCAGAATGTGCCTACCTCAAATTGCAATCTTTAGTGCAGAAGTAATCGTGATTCTTATTTGAAGCGGGATCCAATGTGGCCTAATTCATTCACATAAGATTGTGCTGTAATATAGTCAAGATGTTTAGTATCTGAAATGCGGACAACAGGTGAGTCCTCGTTATTGCGCGTCAACACCCGTTTACTGGAAATCCAAACACATTTCTTCTTAGCCTCCTTTTTTTCCTCAGTGGCTAACAGTGATTTACTACGCTGCGTGAGGGGCACGTATACATAGATTGGCTTACTTCCATGGTGGCCCAGCAAAGTCGTGTCTAGCCGTTTTATTTTGCATTTTGCCAGCAGAGCACTGCGCATGTCTCTTCCTATAAAAGGAATTTTGATGTTCTAGCTTCCAGGTTTTAGGAGGCCGACCCAATGGCACCTCTCAATATGAGGTAAATACATCTTTTCACCAACACTTTTGGCTATCATCTCTCTCACTGTCACTAGATCAACACTCGCTGATAATTCTTCAACCTTAAAGCTGTTTAGACGCATGTGCTGCTCTATATTTTGGCACTTTTGTGACAGCAGCCTATTTTCTTCGATTCGTTCTGTGTTTATTTGCGATTTTTCACTTCTATTCTCAAATCCTTTATTTCATCTGCCAATTCCTTCACATATTACCAGACCTCAGTAAAACACACACACACACACACACACACACACACACACACACACACACACACACACACACACACACACACACACACTCTCTCTCTCTCTCTCTCTCTCTCTCTCTCTTTCACGTAGAAAACTTCAACCAGAAAGTCACGTTTAATGTTTTTGAAGGGCCATATCAACTCACGCACGTATTTTGCATCGATTGTTTTTTATATGACCTTTGATATCATCTTTGGTATCTTTAGCAGGAGCACGACCATCCTTCTCTCATTTCCAAAAAAAGCAATAAAATCGACACTTTGCAGTGTTCAGTAGCCGTGCACCAGAATTACGCTCCGTTGAAATTTCAACGGTTCACAGTATATATTCTTACCTGAAAGAAATGCAGTTTGTTAGGTGCTTGCCGGTTGTGCACAGCTGCCAAACTGAGCTAGGTACAATGGTCCTGTTGTAGGCTTTTACATTCCCCCGCAGGCAGTCTCCACACAGTTGCGCAGACGCACCAGTGGCCCCACGTGGGAAGCGATGCGCTGAAAAAGCATGGTTGCACCTTTCTATCATGCTTGTTGTCGAACTGCTGCGAGGCTCTTCTGGAAAAATATTGGTCCCTCAGGTGGAATTCCAAAAATGCAGTTCATGAGGTACTTGCCAGTCGTGTACAGCTGCCGAACTAAGCTAGATCCAGTTGTCGTAGGCTTTTATATTCCCCGGCAGGCAGTCTTGATCCCGTTGCGAAGGCGCACCAGTGGTCCCACGTGGTCAACGATGCGCAGGAAAAATACGATTGTAGCTTTCTATCTTGCTTGTTGTTCGAATGTTGCGAAGTTCTGCCACAAAAATATTGGTCTCCCGTCGGTACCTTCAAATATTGGCAGATCCCACGTATAGTGGGAATGCATGATATGCGAAGCTCGGATAAAGAAGGTAGATATGTCACATTGAAATGAGCACAACGTTACAAGGCGGAAGTAAATTATGCCGTACACCTCTTCCATGCCATGACTATCATGTTACGACTTGTCATTTACCTTCGTCGTCCATTCTTGTCACGTGATACCAAATTTCGTATATGTGAAGCTAGTGAAATGGCCGCGAGCGGAACGGCAAATCTTATTTATTTATATACCTTAACGGCCTCTAGGTTATTATATAAGGGGGTTTTTATACAGTAATCAGTGACAACAGCTTTTTTATCAACAAAAGAAGACAAGAAAACATGCGCAGGGTACATAGTTTGTCGACCAAGATAAGCAAAAAATAACACAGGTAAGCTTTCACAAGCGAGCACATTGAAAAAGCTGCACGACCCGTTATACAGCAATGCCTAAGATTGTCCAACACATTCAAGGAACGCAAATAATGCAGACTCGAATGATGATTGCTGTGTATGCGTTACAATGCTGGCAGGAAAAGCGTTCCACTTTTGTCATCGCATCATGATCGTGGTATGGAATCGGTGCTCTTGATTGATATGTGGGGTTCAACGTCCCAAAACCACCACATGATTCTGAGAGACGCAGGGGTTCTATAACGTGCACCCAAATCTGAGCACACGGGCCTACAGCATTTCCGCCTCCATCGGAAAAGCAGCCGCCGCAGCCGGGATTTGATCCCGCGACCTACGGGTCAGCAGCCGAGTACCTCAGCCACTAGACCACCGCGGCGGTGAAATCGGTGTTCTTTTGAGTAAATTCCCTTGAAACGGTGGGCCTGGCCTTATGGAATGCTGTTTTCACAATGGCGTAGATGATCACTTTGGTAATCGAAATGCTGTTGTCGATCCGTTGGTTTCCGGTAGATGGTTGTGGAAAGATTGTCATCTTCTATTGGTAAGGTAACGTAAGGAAAATGTATACATGTGAGTAGGTGTGTATGTTTGGATGCACAGTATTGTGAGTACTATTGATAAAGTTTTGAAAGTCATCCTCACTGAGTTTGAAATAAGAAAAACGTTGTCAACGTACCTCCTGTACATATAGGAGTGGTTTCAAATGGGTTTGGGACAAACATTCTGTTTCTATTTTGCCCATGAAAATGTTAACATGGTTTGGTGCGAGCTTGGTAGCCATGGCGTTTTCGCTCATTTGTCGAAACTCATTTGTCATTTGTTGAACTCAGATGAGTTCAATTCTAAAGCTACTAGCCTTGTGAGGCTAGTTTCGGAAAAACCAGTCCAGGCTGTCCAAATTATTGCTATTGCAATAAGAGATTGCTGGCTGCCACAACCTCTCTGGCGCAATCGCATCTCGACTACTGGACTGTACATGCTTCGTTTCGAGCACTAAAATTGAAAATTATAAGTCCTTCTCCTACAGAAAAAGGTAGGATCAGTGAAGCTCAGCGTATGCGTGCTTTGTAGCCGCTGTTTGTTTCTTTCATGCGATCCCATTGCGCATTGTCCTCTCCTACTTTTTCCTTCAATCATGCCGGAAATGCACATTTAGCCACTTGCTTAACAACCTTACCACCCAGTCGATTCAAGACAACGACGATCATGAATTCACATCCAGGCAAGAATAACAGTAACAACATAAAACAGCGATATGTTGCCATAACAGAACCGGTTCACCCTCGATAAGTGAAAGATCGAGAAAGCAACAGTTATCGAAACACAGCGCATATAAATACACATGCATTGCAGGCCCACTTTCGAGCGCCGAATATTTGTGCACATTATTACAGCAGGTTCTTTGCGTAACGAAATCCGTAATTAATAATGCTTTGCCCGAGAAAAAAGTTCGAGACAGGTATACTTTATTTCATAAATTTCCTCCTTTTTGATTGACCTCTAAGCATTACCGTCACCACAATTAACTAATATTATTTGATTAATACCTAAGCATTGCTGTCACTACAGTTAACCAATATTACTAAGACCTTTTCCGTCTAGGATGCCAAAATAACCACAAGAAATTTTTCCGTAGGTGGCCTTGCTAAGACCATCGTAGAAGTCCGGTGTGTAAGTTCCTGCAAAGAAAGAAAGTAAAGTTACAAAGTATTAGCTTCGATGTCAGCTGAATACGGAAGCGTCGCACTTTTATTCGTTTTAAGAAAGATTTCAGAATCACCAGAAGTACAAGTGGCTCAAGCATATTAGCTACACCGTCACACCTGTGCCCCGAGTGAGGCATCATAACCCCCCAACTCGATGAATCTCCCACGTTGCTTCCTTTCACATTCGTCCTGGAATACAGTATAATTGTATATATTACAGGTCCTCAAAGGAAGAGAGTTATAGCGCGAGAACAGAACGACGACAAAAGAACAAGAAGGACACGAGTGCTCGTGTTCTCCTTGTCTCTTTGGACATTAAACCCCACATATCAATCTTCTTGTCTCTTTGTCACGTTTCGTTCTTGCGCTAAAACTACGGTCATGTCATACCAACGAGCCCAAACTGCCATACTTGAAAAGAAACAGCTTATTTGCTCGCATGGCTTACTTAGCAGCGTTCTCTTAATTGCTCTATCTTCTTAATCCATTATTACGAGCCTATTCGAAATTATCCTAGTGCTATATTTCACATGGTTGTTTCTGAGGCATTACAACATGAAAGTTTAGAGGTTATTTCAAATGTTGCAAAACATAGATGCAAATAACTGTACCTAGAAGTAATCGCTGCAATTTTTTTTAGTTTTATAGCATCCAGTCTAGATAAAAAAGTAAAAACCTAATACTGAGGTTTACCTGTTCAAAGTATTCAACCTTTTCTGGTAACATTTTTAAAGCTGTCAGCGTAAAATATAAGCTCAGCCTCTTGTAAGGCAAGATTTCTCTATTTGGGGCAGATTATTCATGTAGGTAAAGGTGGAGTTAAGTTTTCCTTCTTGTTCGTTGATCTCCTTGATGTGGATTGAAGTCCCGTCAAGGAGATGATCGGCGTCGATGAAGCAGGAGGCAGGTTGGAGGTAATGAAAATCTTGAACGTATATTACAGCGAAATATTTACAGTCATATGTACATATTGCCGAAGCACACTCATGATAACACAGACATCAACAGCGTCTTACTCTTCTACTTAACTTTTCTTAAGTTAGAGCCTAGAACACTGTTACTACATACAACGTACTTAGTCTCACTGTTCGACCACCAAGTGGTTACGGCCCAGACAAAAGTTGCATCGTACGGAGTCGTACTGATCTATCAGCTAAGTGATTGCAGCCTCGACTGAAGAGAAACGGATTCCATCCAGTCTTAAGCATCTTGCGGTAACAAGGAAAAGGGGAGGTGGCCACTGCTGGTCCGCCTCAACATTCTCTCATCCAATCTGTTTCCACTCAGATTAAGTCACTCCCTACTGGGCTGACCTTACCCTCGACAGCAGCGCTTCTACAGTTTAAACAGGCGTTTTGGTACTCTTTCCCATCTTGTCTCTCTCTCTCCACCTCCCACGCGCTCAGGAATTCTCTCGCTCGGGAGATATCGGCATTGTAGACCCGGTACATTCATGCCTTTTCCCACACCCAGCGAGCCGAGACGAACCTCAAAGCCGGAAGTCAAATGATCGCGCGTGGAACGTTATTGCCCCCGCAGGTCGCAATTGGCCTTTGATTTTCTCCGCTTTCCTTGTGTTCGGGTCGTGCATCGCTGCGACTTTGAGCCGATCGCCAGGGCAGAGCGTGTCGCCTACTCCCACTGAGCTCGCGCCCGGCAGCGGAGGCAGGACGAGGTCGCTTAATCCCATTGTGCGTTGGCCCCCGCCAGCGGCGACTGTCTCTAAACCGCAAACATTCCAAGCCGGTTGGCAGAGCGGGTTCGTTTCACATTGTGTGTTTGTCCCCGGCAGCGGAGGAGACGGACGTAGTTTGCATTCCAGAGGATAAGTGGTGTACAGTTACACAGGCATACCGAGAGAGAGTCGAGAAAGAAGCTTTGAATAACGTGGCTTCTGGTGCTGTCCCATCCGCACTATCAACTTATGAGCGGCAAAACATAACACGTCCCCCCTAAAGAGTATACTGGGCTGTCCTACGCTCAGTGATACGATAAAGCACTGCCGCGATTAAGTCACTGGATTTTCTAACCACACAACAGTTGTACACAAGCATCAAACACAATGGCAAGTCAACACTACAGGAGAATACACTAAACGAAAACAAATACATGCTAAACAATCAAGTACAGCACTGCTGCTTCAAGCAGTGAGATCACTAGTGTCTGTTTTTTGAGTTGTCAATCACATAGTCCACAATATACAGCAGCACGTGGGCAGGAACATTCACGTCCCCCCCAGTTGGCATGGCACTGTTATTCTGATGGCTTCCATGAACTATTCTGAAGCCTAGATAACGCATCCGCATTACCGTTACATACTCCCTTCCGATGTTGTACCGACACATGATATCGCTGTAAAGCCAGCGCCCATCTTGTTAATTTCGCCCCGTGCGGAGTCGAAGTTGTAAGGTACGACAGCGGATTGTGGTCGGAAACGACGTTTACTATGGCAGCGAAAAGCCAGTAGTCAAACTTCTTTAAGGCCCATATTATTGCGAACGCTTCCCTCTCAATTGTCGACCAACGCGTCTGGGTCGGTGAGAAGCGGCGGCTTGCAAAGGCGATAGGCTTTTCTTTCCCCTCGGCTGAAATTTGTGCCAAACATGCTCCCGCCGCCGTAGCTGATGCGTCTGTGAAAAGCCAGTAGGGCTGAGATGGCTCAGGGGTGTTTAGCGCCACGGCCTCGCACAAAGATCGTTTGAGAATCTCAAATGCCGTCTGAGCTTCCTCCGGCCAGGGTATCTTATTAGGTACTGCCTTCTTTGTTAACAGCGTGAGCGGGCTCGTCACATCTGCATATCCTCGGACGTACTCTCGATAGTAGCCGCAAAGTCCTAACAGGCTGCGTAGTTCCTTCTTGGTGCGCGGTGGTACCAAGTTCTTAACTGCTGCTATCTTTTCTGGGTCTGGTGCGTGTGTCCCTGAACCGACAATATGCCCCAGGTAATGTATGTGGGATTGCGCAATCTGACACTTCTCCGGGCTGGCTTTCAGTCCCGCCTTCTCTAAGACCTTAAGAATAATGTCTAGATGCCTTAAGTGCTCCTCCCAAGTGCTAGAAAAAATAGCAATATCATCTAGGTATGCCGTGGCATACACTTGATGTTGCGACAAGAGTTTGTTCACCATTCTTTGGAAGGTTGCCGCGGAATTTTTCAGCCCGAAAGGCATCACTTTCCATGCGTACTGACCTTCATGCGTTACAAATGCGGTGAATTTCTGACTCTTTTCTTCCATCGGTACCTGCCAGTACCCGCGCCTAAGGTCCACTACCGTAATGAACTGCGCTCTGCCTACTCGGAAAATCAATTCCTGAGGATTCACCATCGGGAACGCATCCGCTTTGGTGACGGCATTTAGCGCTCTGTAGTCCACACACATGCGGATAGTCCCATCTTTTTTTTCCGACGCATACTACCGGGTGTGCAAACTCACTCTCCGTGGGGTAGATCAACTTCCAAGTGAAAAGTTCGTCAACTTGCCGGCTGACTTCTTTCTTTAATAGTTCCGGCACCCGATACGGAAACACCTTTTTTGGCTGGTGACCCGGTTCTATTTCTATCTTATGTTCATCTACCTTTGCTATACCCGGAGTGCCGTCAAAGAGTGTGCGATGTCTTTGGAACACCGCCTCTATTTCCGCCTGCGCATCAGCATCAAGGTGAGCAACCTTCTCGCTCGTTACCACTAGCTCTTCCCGCTTCACAGTGGCTGGCCGTGGGGCATATTCCACCTACTCAAAATCATGGTCCTCATCGAAGACGACCCCAATATGACTGACTCTTGCATAGTAAGGTCGAATGTTGTTGGCGTGGACACTTTTCACCTTTCCCTCAGATGTTTCTACGCGGTAAGAATGTTCGCGCTCACGTCCAACCACTGTGAATGGGCCTAGCCATTTAGGTGACATTTTACCACTCCGATCATTGTCGAAAACCACAACTTGGTCGCCAACGTTAAAAGCTTTGAGCCTGCTGCTGCGATTATAAGCACTGGCGTAACTCTCCTGATGAGTTGCACTAGTTAGCTCAGCTATATTAGCGGCCATCTCGAGCTGCTCCTTAAGTTGTTGTAAATACTTACGGGGTTTTCTCTCAATGTTGCGGGCACCGGCATTTCTCCCGTCCAAGTCTTCTGCAGTATTAGAAGCGGTCCCGTGGGATTCCTTCCGTACAATAGACGAAACGGAGCTACTCCGGTTACCTCATGGGGGACTTCCCGATAAGCCCATAAAACCATTGGGATCAATTTGTCCCAATTCTCGGAGTCTCTTTGAATGACATGATACAACATGTTTTTGAGTACTCGGTTCCACCTTTCTACAACTCCATTACTCTCTGGGTGTTCTGGGGTTGAAAATCTTGGCATGCAACCTAATTTCTCCAGCATCGTTTGCGTGAGCTGCGATTTGAAATTAGTGCCCTGATCGGAGCAGATCATCTCCGGAACGCCTGTGCGACTGAATATCTCAATCAGTGAACCACAAGTCGCCTTAGCTGTCAAAGAGCGCAGTGGGATCACCTCTGGCCACCTCGTGCAAAGATCCACTAAGCACAGCGCGTACTTATGCCCTCTCGCTGACGGTGTGTCTAGGGGTCCGATCACATCTACATTGACAACTTGGAAAGGGTGCTCGGGTCTAGTGAGCGGAGTTATAGGCACTTTATCCGTGCGACACTTGTCTGAACGAATTTGACATTCATGGCACGAACGACAATGCTCTAATATCTCCTTCGCCATACCCGGCCAAAAAAAATTATACCTAATGCGAGCTCTTGTTTTCTTTGACCCTAGGTGCCCCCCGCATAGTGACTCGTGTGCTAAGTGCATCACCTCAGTGCGCTTATCTTTGGGGACAACTAGCTGGCTCACTCGAGTGCCTGCTATCGAGTCGCAGTTGTATAATAGTCCGTCTGAAATGAACATGCCGGATTTCCCACTACGCGCATCTTCCCAACATTTCTTTAGCGTAGTGTCGCCCAACTGCACATTGCGGAACTCTACTCTTTGGCCTAATGACGCCTCCCTTTCTTCATCAGTTTGCGCCTCTTCCCCGGAATCATCTTTCTCCTCCAAGGTAAGATTGCAGGCAACTACCTTTTGTTTCTCTACTGCTTGTTCCGCCTCGTGAGCAGGCTCGGCCGGCGCTCGACAGGGTGCCAGAGGGCTGCTGGCCTTCAACAAAAGTTTCCAATCGTCCTTGGTCAACAAACAATCTGTGCTCTCGACGAGCTCATCAGTTAACGCGCAGAGTTGGTCGACGTTCTGAGGCTCCGTAACCTCTCGCGGGCTATTTAATTTGACCGGTAACGTAGCTAGCCTTGCCTCGATAGTTTTACCGAAAGCGGACACCAATCTTACCGTGCCAGACGGCTCTACAACACTTCGCGGAAGCAGACTCTCCCGGATGACGGTTATCTCACTCCCCGTATCCAAAATCGCATCTGCGGATATGCCTGCACATGATACAGGAATTAACTGCAGTTTATCTGTGCCTTCACCCTCGTGTTTCAGAGACTTCACCTTTGCGCTAAGTAATCCAGTAGGTATTTCAGTATCCGTCTCGTGGGATAACGTTACCTTTTGAACCTTCCGCTTTGGCTCGGTAGCCTTGTTGGGGTTGTTCTCCTTATCACTAGCCTTCGGGCACTCTTTAGCAAAATGGCCTGAGCCGTGACATAAGTGGCATTTCAGAGCCCCTTTCTCAACTCGTGTCGCCGGCTTCTGCCCCATTTCTACAGTTGGTTGCTTTGAAGCACGCCCTTTCCCTTTCGCTTGTTCAAAAGTTTGGAGCACTTTCGCGATCTCAGTTGGCCTAAGCCATCCCTCGCCTTCCCTTAATCTCACATACTCAAGACCCTCCGTACTAAGGCCCGATTTTATTCGGACAGCAACCATGAGTTCGGCCATCACTTCTACCGTGTCGGCTTCTCTCACTTGGAGGTAGTATGAGAAATGAGTTTTCACGCATGACGCGAACTGCGCCCACGTCTCTTCCTTACGCTTTACTGCTCTTTCGAACCTCTGCAGGTACTCTGCCGGAGAAAGCTTCAGTTCCGTCAGCACTGCTGCTTTAACTGACTCATAATCTGCACTCTCTTCAGGGTTGAGGTTACGCAGTAGGTAACGGACTCGCTCAGTTAGCGCTGGCATAACCAAATGCACGCGGCTCTCGTGCGGTACCTGGTAAGTAGCAAAAAGTTTTTCTACTTCCTCAAACCATAATGGGACATCCGCGTCACTCGGCAGGCGGAAGCCTTTTAGCACTTTTGCACATTGCTGAACAGAATTGAAACCCCGGCGCCTCTGATCACCCGTCTCCGACCCAGAGTTGGACAACGTGCCATTGAGACGTTCCGCGTTCATTCTAGCCTGCAATAGCTTTTCGTACTGAATCTGAAGATTGAGCTTTTGAATTTCAAGCTCGAGCGTTCTCGCTTCGCTTAATTTCGGCAAAACCTGAGATGCCTGCTGCATCGATTCTTGCCTCTGAGTAGGCACTGTCGCCTCATTTGACTGATCAGAATTTTGAATACCATCATTGGATGGTTCTCGACTCCGATTCACATCTGCCGCAGTCGTACCCTCATCTTCATTAGACTCCATTGTTTTAGCACCCCCGCGTGTTCTCACCATGTGCTCTACACATAAACTGCCATGCCAACTAGAGAAGCACGCAAGAAATCCTGCTCACCCTTTGCTGTATGCACTGTCGTTCGCGGATCTCCTCCACGGTGCAGGAGTTGGCTGCTGTGGTAGCGTCTCGACTTTGCGCTTGTGGCTGTTGGATGCCTTGCCCCTCGGTCCTCTCAGCGCTTGTCCAGTGTATGGTGCTGCAGAGCTCGCCGATCCTGTCGACTGCGCCAGTTAAGTTTTCCTTCTTGTTCGTTGATCTCCATGATGTGGATTGAAGTCCCATCAAGGAAATGATCGGCGTCGATGAAGCAGGAGGCAGGTTGGAGGTAATGAAAACTTGAAGGTATATTACAGCGAAATATTTACAGTCATATGTACATCTTGCCGAAGCACACTCATGATAACACAGACATCAACAGCGTCTTACTCTTCTACTTAACTTTTCTTAAGTTAGAGCCTAGAACACTGTTACTACATACAACGTACTTAGTCTCACTGTTCGACCACCAAGTGGTTACGGCCCAGACAAAAGTTGCATCGTACGGAGTCGTACTGATCTATCAGCTAAGTGATTGCAGCCTCGACTGAAGAGAAACGGATTCCACCAGTCTTAAGCATCTTGCGGTAACAAAGAAAAAGGGGAGGTGGCCACTGCTGGTCCGCCTCAACATTCTCTTATCCAATCTGTTTCCACTCAGATTAAGTCACTCCCTACTGGGCTGACCTTACTCTCGACAGCAGCGCTTCTACAGTTTAAACAGGCGTTTTGGTACTCTTTCCCATCATGTCTCTCTCTCTCCACCTCCCACGCCCTCAGGAATTCTCTCGCTCGGGAGATATCGGCATTGCAGACCCTGTACAGTCATGCCTTTTCCCACACCCAGCGAGCCGAGACGAACCTCAAAGCCGGAAGTTAAATGATCGCGCGCGGAACGTTATTGCCCCCGCAGGTAGCAATCGGCCTTTGACTTTCTCCGCTTTCCTTGTGTTCGGGTCGTGCATCGCTGCGACTTTGAGCGGATCGCCAGGGCAGAGCGTGTCGCCTACTCCCACTGAGCTCGCGCCCGGCAGCGGAGGCAGGACGGGGTCGCTTAATCCCATTGTGCGTTTGCCCCCGGCAGCGGCGACTGTCTCTAATCCACAAACATTCCAAGCCGGTTGGCAGAGCGGGTTCGTTTCACATTGTGTGTTTGTCCCCGGCAGCGGAGGAGACGGACGTAGTATGCATTCCAGAGGATAAGTGGTGTACAGTTACACAGGCATACCGAGAGAGAGTCGAGAAAGAAGCTTTGAATAACGTAGCTTCTGGTGCGGTTCCATCCGCACTATCAACTTATGAGCGGCAAAACATAACAGGTGGGCATAGAAAATACCTGGCACCCTAGACAAGCTACAGCGAATGTTTGAAACAAGATACTCCTTGTCCCGCTTACATTTCATTTTTCCGCCGTTTTAGTGTACTGCAAAATATTAGAAACGCATTGAAACGAAAATACACTTCTGGTCATAAAGTAAAAAAAAAAGCAGCGGGAAAAGAACAAGGACGAGAGAGAATAAAGAGGCCAGAGCGCAGGCCAGAGTGCTCTATCCTGTTTCGTCTGCCTCGTTCACGTTCTTTTCACGATTTTTTTTACTATGTATGCCAACAAGCTCCATTTCAGACGCTTCATACTTCTGTTCCTTCAAGATTGCGCAGTGGGTAATTTTCACCAAGAAAATGATTCTTCACTTCTTTTCAATTTGAATTGTTACCTTTTCATTGCCAAGACAGACCTGCTACTTCTTTTCATCTGATGGCAAACTGGCAGCAGTAGCAAATCCTGCTGCTGATCCAGCGGCAGCTGCTCCTATTATAACTGCAACCAGTGGTGCAAAAGGTCCCGCAACCACGGCCGCAGGTAGCAATACTGCTCTTGCAAGACGAGTGCCAGCCAGGGCACCTTTACGATCCTCGTCGCTGATGGTTGGCATCTTTGCTTGTGGTGTTTATAGTCGTGTCACACTGTTATTTCGAACAGCACTGCAGGCATGAAAATTGAAAAGAAAAAAAATAGAGCGTCCACAGTGTTTGCAAATAATTGATTGAAAATACTACGAGCGAAAAAACAGCAATGCGATCATGAAAAATCTTTGTAGTTGTTTATATGGGTCATTGTTTTTAACTTGACGCAGAGGGTCTCAGCAGTTAAACTTGGCGCAATAAAAATGGCTTTCTAAATTATGTGACACATTGACAGAGGACAACTGATTAAGTTTCTGGCGATAGTATGTGTGCACGGCTTTAAAATGTTTAATTTTCACCTTTTGGTACTGAGTATGGGCCTGGGTTCATTGTCGCAATTTTTCTTAAACCATTCATGGAAACATGCTTTAAAACCTCCCTTTTGTTATAGCTTTAACAGTTACCTAACAGTTATCTATTAGTTATTGTGCTGTATGCATCTTTGTCGTCCTGCGCAGAAGAGCTTAGGGTGTTAAATACTGTATGATACTGTATGATACGATGGTACTTACGGTGTCATATAATCTATCTTCAACAATGTTGTGATAATAATATATCTATACAGAACGCTGGGGTCTCATTTTGTCACAAAGGCTACTCGTAGCATGCTTATTAATGCTGTTAAGGATATTGTCAATCTTTTTTTTTTGTCTCTTGTCAATCTTTTTGGCTCTGTAATCATATCTACATGTACACACCCTCGTATATATATATATATATATATATATATATATATATATATATATATATATATATATATATGGGGAAGCAAGCTTGGCGTTTCGGGCACAGACCCAGAGCTCAGTAATATTCTTAGGGAGAACGTGTAGGGCCGGGCTTGAGTTACGCCGCGAAGCGTCATGGTTTTGGAACCAGGAACAAAGGGTGCCAACGAGGACTGACGTTCTCCTGCGGGTCGGCCGAATAAACTGTTTGCAGGCCCAGAACTCACCTCCGGTAACTAATACCTCTCCCATATACAATTAGACGGTGGCCTAGTGGCTAAGGTACTCGGCAGCTGACCCGCAGGTCACGGAATCGAATCCCGGCCGCGGCGGCTGCATTTCCGATGGAGGCGGAAATGTTGTAGGCCCGTGTGCTCAGATTTGGGTGCATGTTAAGGAACCCCAGGTGGCCGAAACTTCCGGAGCTCTCCACTACGGCGTCTCTCATAAGCATATGGTGGTTTTGGGACGTTAAACCCCACATATCAATCAAAATCAATACAAATAGAAGAATTGGTTGCCCCCTCCTGCCTCCCCAATTATGGGTGCACTTGAGGATGTGCCTGCGCGTGCGCCAATACGAGAGGCTGGAACCGGCGGATGCATGCCCCTTGGATTACAAGCCTCGGGCGGGTGTCAGGGGTCAGTTGGAGACCGGTGCCAGCAACGGGGAAAAGCTAAACTCCATTCGCCCCGCGCCAAACTGCTCTCTCTCTTCCTTCATCTTTTTCTATCTCTCCCCCAAACCCTGTGTTCTTCGATTGTTAACACGGCATGACGAGGCGTGGAAGGACAGTCTGGGCAGTAACCACGATGTCGTACAACGGTAAGGCTCTGTGCTGCGTACTTCCTCGCAGTGCCCTGGGCTCTAATACCAAGTTATGTGTAGAAAAGTGAGCGTGTCTCGGTTGCACCCATTATAATGCGCAAATTAGTCTTCTCACTCGTAATTACGCTACGCAAATGAAATACAGTTTGCTCATTATTAATTCAACGTCTCCTGTCGAATACTTCACCCCCGCGTAGCTTCATCACAAAGTGTCTCTCGCGTCAACCTCGCGGGAAGAAAAGAACCTTTACTGTGCCTAAGCCACTTGTGTACCTAAACCGTATGGAACTGTATGGTGGTGGTACTGCGAATGCGTTATATTTTAAACACATGTTTCCCCTGGTAACCAAGGTCGTGAGAACGCGTGATTTTAAACATCATTACTGCTACGCAAATGAAATACAGTTTGCTCATTATTAATTCAACGTCTCCTGTCGAATACTTCACCCCCGCCTAGCTTCATCACAAAGTGTCTCTCGCGTCAACCTCGCGGGAAGAAAAGAACCTTACTGTGCCTAAGCCACTTGTGTACCTAAACCGTATGGAACTGTATGGTGTGGTACTGCGAATGCGTTATATTTTAAACACATGTTTCCCCTGGTAACCAAAGTCTTGAGAACGCCTGATTTTAAACATCATTACTGCTACGCAAATGAAATACAGTTTGCTCATTATTAATTCAACGTCTCCTGTCGAATACTTCACCCCCGCTTAGCTTCAGCACAAAGTGGCTCTCGCGTCAACCTCGCGGGAAGAAAAGAACCTTTACTGTGCCTAAGCCACTTGTGTACCTAAACCGTATGGAACTGTATGGTGGTGGTACTGCGAATGCGTTATATTTTAAACACTTGTTTCCCCTGGTAACCAAAGTCGTGAGAACGCGTGATTTTAAACATCATTACTGCTGCGCAAATGAAATACAGTTTGCTCATTATTAATTCAACGTCTCCTGTCGAATACTTCACCCCCGCTTAGCTTCATCACAAAGTGTCTCTCGCGTCAACCTCGCGGGAAGAAAAGAACCTTACTGTGCCTAAGCCACTTGTGTACCTAAACAGTATGGAACTGTATGGTGGTGGTACTGCGAATGCGTTATATTTAAACACATGTTTCCCCTGGTAACCAAGGTCGTGAGAAACGCGTGAGTTTAAACATCATTACTGCTACGCAAATGAAATACAGTTTGCTCATTATTAATTCAACGTCTCCTGTCGAATACTTCACCCCCGCCTAGCTTCATCACAAAGTGTCTCTCGCGTCAACCTCGCGGGAAGAAAAGAACCTTTACTGTGCCTAAGCCACTTGTGTACCTAAACCGTATGGAACTGTATGGTGGTGGTACTGCGAATGCGTTATATTTTAAACACATGTTTCCCCTGGTAACCAAGGTCGTGAGAACGCGTGATTTTAAACATCATTACTGCAGTGACCTTCAAATGGAGATAATGGGCTCTATTACGTCACGCTCACCTCGAATTATTTAGTTGCCGTCCAGCGCTGTCTTCTTCTTCAACTCTGAGCTGATGGTTTAATATACTTTAGATTAATGTCCTCAAGTTCCAACAGCAATTTGTTAGTGGCGTTTGGGCATCGTTTTTGAGTGCCATACTTTAATAGTCGAAGCTGTAGGATAAGCGAGTAGCTAAGGGTGTTTTCCGAATTTCGGAGGGCATAAAATACGTGTTTTTAGTTGTTGTTTTTTTCCACAGCTGGGACCACTTAACGTTTTGTAATAAATGACTTCCGCACTTCCACTCGTATCTACATACATACATACCCATACACAATATTAGGCTACTCATTAGCGATACCAAAATACCAGGTAGACTATAAAAGAATAACGGACCCGCCCGCACAATAGAAGAGAATAAAGCGTACACGGGAAAAAGACATTGCTAATCCCACCACCACAAGTTCACGTCAATGTCTCTATACAAATATCATTTATTAATTTGATCGCGTGCTGTAGCCACTCCAAAAACAAAAGTCGAAAAACAACACTATATGTTGGACGGTTTCCTCAACTTTATTATTTGTGAAAGAAAAGCACTCTCCAGTAAAGAAAACCATGGCAGCAGCGGTGAATTGTATTATCTGCACAAGTGATGCTTTGCGAAAATTTTCTGCCGTACGTACAATGTCAATTGTCATGAAAAGGAACACGGGAGCTCGAAGCCTGTGCGATCAGGTTCGATGGATGGATTGATAGATGGATAGATATTGCTGTACCCTTTAGATCAGGCGGTGGCTAACGACAACCAAGCCGTAAAACTTAGTGAACTAATAACTCCATTTTTTGCCTTTAAATAGTGAGGTTGAGGAATAGTACTTTGCAGTGAAGGGTTTAATCTTCACCCGTGCCTCGACTTTAGCCACCAATCAGATAACCTCTTTCTAGTGAATTTTACCCGCTTAAAGTCTATTTTGCCCTACCTGTTCTTTAAACCCAGTGCTTTTAAAAACTCGGCGCCACCATCCTGAACTATAGGGTGAAGCCAATTACAAACCACTATGAATTGTTTGGCAGTTTCCTCCTCCTCTCTACACGCACTGCACACCGTGTTCACACCTTCGTATTTGGACCGATATGTCCCGGTTCACAATACTCCCGTCCTCGCCTCAAACAGCAGAGCACTACCCCGAATATTATCATAGATCCTTTCCTTGGCAATTCGCTGGTTAAAAGTTGGATAAATCTCTAGTGCGGACTTCGTAATTCTGCCAATTCTCCACATATCGGTCTCAGCTTTCTTCGCCTTCTTCTTGACCGATAATGCTTTTTGGTTTGGCCCCTTGCTGTTTTCTAAGTATTTACCCGTAAATTTTATGGTTCGCTTCCTCCATTTTGTATCGACATTCTTCATGTACAAGTAGCTGAAAACCTTTCTAGACCAATGCTCCTCCACCATTTCTCTCAATCGCTCCTCAACATTTAATTTCCTGCTAGCTTCCCTGCCCTAAAATGATTTCCATTTCATATCACCTTGTGCTACCTGATTTGGTGTATTCCCGTGAGCTCCTAAGGCAAGCCTACGTATTTCATGTTGCTTAATTTCTAATCTTGCTTGAGCTTCTGATCTCATGCACAAGACCGCTTTGCCGAACGTCAGACCAGAAACCATGACCCTTTTACACATTTCCTCTCACAACATCATATCTATTGCAATTCCACAGTGCCCTATTTTTCATCACTGCTGCATTCTTGTTACCTTTAGTCGTAACGTATATTTCGTGTTCCCTTATGTACTCGGTCCGATTGCTTATCCACACGCCCAGATATTTGTATTTATCTGTTATCTCTAGCGTGAACCTCCTGTATTCTAAGCTCACTACCTTCGTTGGCATTGAAAATCATGACTGCTGATTTTTCCTTACTGAATCTAAAATCTAACCTATCTCCCTCATCACCGCAGATGTCAATCAATCTCTGCAAATCTTCCTTGTTGTCGGCCATTAGCAC